CGAATGTAAAGCACATAAGCAATCTGGTTGTTTTTTTGAATTTCTTGGGGTTTTTTCGGTGAGACTCACCACTTGCATTTCTTCTTGAACGGTAGAGAGGACAGAGATATTCGTCACATCCCATTCACCGTTTCCCTGAAAATTGTTGCATTGAAATCTTCGTTTGAAACTGATCCTACCCAAGCGAAGAAGGATTTCGTAAACATTTCTGCAATTGATTCATCAATTTCTGTCGGTATGTTTATACTTCCATCTCCACTTTCCTCTGGATCTTTTGAATACTGTAATAATTTGTTAATATACATTTGGGAATAAGATTTTTACAAAACTGAAAACTCACCTTCATGTGCGAGTATCGAAAAAGAAATGGATTAATCGATGCGCTCATTGTCAGGTATTTACTAAATTAGAAAATATGTAAAATAGATTTTTCCAAATTTGCAAACTTTACTTACACCGATAGACTCAAACCGCCGCTTGGTCACGCTTAAACATCTCTTAAACACCGCCGCTTGGTTAATAGAGTGTTTCAAAATTGTAAAGGACGGCCAACCCATCCCACTTTTTCGAGATTTATTCAAAGTTAATCCCACGGTTAGTTCAAGGAGAGGTTCTTTCGTTTTAGAAATTCCAGTCACCTCCAATAACTTTGTGTATAACTCTTTTCCAATAAGAATTCCAATAAGAATTCCAATAAGAATTCCAATAAGAATTCCAATAAGAACTGCCAGAATTTGGAATCGACTCCCCAGAGTTTTGAGAGAGTCCAATAGTCTCGAAACCTTTAAATTATCTGTAGATAATCTTGAAGCTCTAGTGGATCCTTGACATTATCTGTGCTACCCATACAGGGTGCGCCAAAAGTTCCCGTACTTGTATTTTCTGCATTTTTGGTAATTTTAGATAAAAGATACGATTTTAAAAGTAAGAAATTCGAATTCCTCGCGAAAAACTGATTTAGAAAACGTTTCTGGTTAAATTTATAAGTGCAACACTATTTAAGACAAGTGATTGAGAAGAGGGTCCGCTTAGGGGTGCTTTAGTCGCACAGTTACAGGGCACAGTGACAGGCACAGCTCTTCAACTAGCTACAGGGTGTCCCATAATTATAGGTACAGTGGCTATTATTATTAACTATCTCGATCTCCTCAAAGCTGAAATTTTGCACTGGCACAAAAACATTTCAAAAAGCAAATTTGGATATTCCAACAAGACGCGACTCCATAAAGCCAATAATGTCCAAGGTTTTTGCAAAGTGAAGTTTCCCGATTCCATCTTTTTTTCTGAATGGTCACCCAGCTCGCTGGATCTTAATCAATTATTCTGTCTGGTACGTCTGGTATTCTGAGGCAAGAGTCTGCTCAAAGTCGCATCAAAAAGGGGAAAGTTTGAAGAAAAGAAAAGTCTTCTGAAAGCTTGGGATGAACTCGATGATGCTTACTTGGTCCCCACGCTTTTCCTAAAAGCTTGACAGCGTGCAGCGTGCTTGGCTCAAAATGGTGATCGCTTTGAATTTGATTGTTAATTTGTTGTTCGTTGATCAAATATACATAACGCCGTTCGTCTGTCCGTCCGTTCGTCCGTCCGTTCGTCCGTCCGTTCGTCCGTCCGTTCGTCCGTCCGTTCGTCCGTCCGTTCGTCCGTCCGTTCGTCCGTCCGTTCGTCTGTCTGTCCGTTCGTCTGTCCGTTCGGCTGTCCGTCCATCTGTCTGTCCGTCCGCTCGTCCGTTCGTTCGTTCGTTCGTCTATCCGTCCGTTCGTCTGTCCATCTGTCTGTCCGAGGCTTTATTCGGGGAATTGAGCTAGGGGGCTGAAAACTCCCATCTTAAGGTAAAGAATTTGCTGATTTCGAAGGTGTGCTGAAGCTGAAGTCCGTTTGTAAAAAAACGTCATTTCCCGCTGAATTATTCGACTTTAAAATTTACAACAGCCGTCCAATTTGCATTTAAGAGGGGAATTTCTTGCAAATTTTAGCAAAGCAGCCGCGCAGCTGGTATCAAATAAAGATTTTAAAGCAAAATTTTGCTCTCTAAAGTTGAATTTTGTCTACCTACAAAGCTTTTTATCTGCACCAATAATTATGGGTCACTCTGTTGCCCAGTTCATTGCAAAACTCACACATCTAGTGCCAGTGACATGAGCGGAATCGGGCAAAGTTGTTTATCGAATGGAAAAGTGTTGATCTAAAGTCAAAAATTTCATTCATTTTACACAAGTTTGCTAATAAACAAACTTGTTTTTCATTCTTACAATAATTGGACAATGAAACGTACAATAATTGGACAAGCGACTTCAGTGTAGTAGAAAACGGGAAAGTAGACGGTTCCATTGCTGAAAATCTCGACAGCTCTCATCGATTCGCCCGCTTTTACCGAATCTATTGTTTTGCTAAATTATCGTAATTATTTAATTAAATTAAAGGTTTACGCGTTTCCAATTTGACTGTCCGGAACCCAAATCAGATCTGACGAGACAAAAATGTTATTGATTCCACCAAATTTGCTCACGTTCCATGAAAGGCGAAGGTCTTGCCAATACTAAAATGCTATTACGGTAATTTTACGGGATTACAGGAGCTTTTGAAAAGCCAACTGTGACGACGAGTCACCAAAAAGTGGCCAGTCTAATAAGACACCAGAAATACTGAAATCAACTAAATTTAAACTTTCAAAAAGTAACGAAGCTACGATAACTTTCAAAAAAGTCAACAGAATCACTAATCAAATCAGAATAACTTTCGCACCACATCAAAGAACATTTTGAACAACGTTACCATTTTGAATTCCAGATTAACACACAATAGCTGACTCTCCGCATTCAATGAGATCAATTTCGTATACCAAAGATCAAAATGGACATTGACCCGAGGAATCTTATCGTCTGAAAATTGCTAGAATAAAAGCAAAAGCACTTTTTTTCCGTTACCGGTTGAATTAACCATTCCAAAAACGGGAAACATGTAACGATTGTAGTTTCTCTTCGTGAAGAGCTCATTGTACAAATCGCTGCCTTTTTTCTGGTAATCCGTGGTGTTGTCTAAATTTTCAGCCAAACACAAGTGCGCAAGCTCATTTTAGTCTTTTAGTCTCTGCCATAATGTAAACTGAATGTAATCTCCCAAATAGAGTTGGTCAAAGTGCAAAATTTCAGACAGACTTTCAAACGCGTAACTTTAGCCACCAAAAAACTGGTCTGGAAAATCCCTCCTCATGAGATTTTCAAATGCTTTAAATGGTTCAAATGGTTCAAATGTTAAAAATCCCCCCCCCCCTTTTTTTTTTTCCTCCCCAAAAAAAAAAACCCCCCCTATTTAAAAGTTCAAATGATACATTAACCCCGTTGGACTCACTGGAAAACGATCAGATCTTGCAAGAGTAATGGCACTGACACCTGCTATCAAAATGGCAACCTTCCCTAGCATTTTTGATGGCAGCCTTCCCCTAATAGCAGTGCACCCCGCAGAACCGAGTTGATGACTATTTTATGGTTTCCAAGTTTTCACAGAAGCTAAACACTCAAATCCCCCACTAGATCTCATCGTCAGCTACATTTTCCGACCCCATATCGATAGGTTCTGATAAGCCGTTCTCGAGATTTCAAGGAATTTAGGCAAAGCTTAGGATGCACTACTATTAAGGAGAATACTACAACAACAAAATCGGTAGCTAAAAGGAAATAGTTTCTATAGTAGTGGCGAGTTATTAGGGAAAATACGACAGTCGTCGAGAGCACTAGGCGGCCAAATTTTGTCTACGTTTTCACAGAAACCTAGAGCATTCAGGCACAAGCTCAAATGGCTATCGTTTTGCCTGTGTTTGACTTGCGAAAGCCTTATTGAATTAATTCGGTTTTACAAAATCTGGCAATTCCCTTGTTAACACATTGCTAGACACTTGCATCCACTAACCTGCGTCCACAGAATCGAAGTAATTCAACTGAAAAAGATAGCATTTAATAAATAAAACAAAAAGAAATATGTTCATTTTCAATTGTAAGAAAGTAGTCAATGAAATGGGATCAATTTTTTGCCAATTTACCATGAGAAATTCGAGAATCTCTTCTAGTTTATTGGACGTTTTGCTCGCTCGAACCCACTTGAGTTTCCCTTCTGAACAAATCAAACAAATGCAATGAAAATCATTGACCTTTGGTTATCGAAATGAAAATTTAAAAGAGAACAAGGTGTGTTGATGAAGAAATGATGAAGAAACTGGACAAAGGCTTTGACCGGACTTTAAACCAGTCATGATCTCAGCTCTTGAGCGGATGGCGGATGAAGGACTAAGTTGGCTTACTATATTGAATGAATCAAGGAGATTTTCTGGTATGTCAAGCACAAGAATTGTAAAAAACGGGTGGCTGAACTTTTATAGAAACTTGTTTCAATAAACTACATAAAAGCTATTGGATTGGTGAATTGAAAACTGCCGGCTATTTCGCGGGATTCGCAGATTAAAAAAAAACAACAGCATTGAACCAGCTGAAAGGGGGTTTCCTTACTTCAACGTTTCCTCAAATTATTTGGAATGAATTTATGGTTTTATCTTGAATCAATTTTAGTTCAAAATCGGCAGTTTTCAATTCACCAACTCAATACATAAAAGCTACGATATACCATCACTATCAGCGGTACCGTGCGCAAGATACCGTAATAGAAAGAATAAGTTGAAAAGATGTTTTTGAGTTTGAGCCAAGTTGATTTGAAAATTTTCAGCGCCAATTCTCCGTCGATGCAGTGGATTGGTTGATGAGAAATTCGAAACGATTCGCTAATCCTACAATTTGATAAAGAACATGTACTGCACTGCAATTTTGTCAGATGATTGTCTTTTCTAGAGATGCTTTTCCAGGTGGCTCCGTATTGAATTGAATGAGGTTTTGCTTCACATTCTCCTTTTACAAACTCATTCAACATTTGAATGCATTGAATTAAAGCTTTATTTAAACTTAAACCAATCAATCTTTTATCTTTTAATTCGTCATCTTAAATATCGATCATTATTTGGACATCATTTTGATGAATTCCTCATAGTTCACTTTTCCATCGTGATTATCATCAGCTTCTCGAATCATCATATCAATTTCTTCAAATGTGACCATCTCGCCGAGACTCGCCATCGCATCGTGCAACTCTGTCGCTGATATGAAACCGTTTCCATCTTTGTCGAAGAGCTGAAAACTTGATTTTAATTACTTCTTTACCAGAGTTGGAAGAAAACTTATTTTTCGTAGACTGATTGGGAACTTTGCAGGTAAATTTAATAAACCCTTTGGTTAAAGTGTTTTCCAAAGGGTCAACAGCTTTATCCAAAAAGATATCATAACTGAATTTTTGGCAAAAACAACTGGACAAAGTCTTTGATCGGACTTTAAACCAGTCTGAGCTCTTGAGCGGATGGCGGATGAAGACGGTGATCAGGCGGATGACTAACTTGGCTTACTATGACGGTATCTTGCGCACCGTCTAGTAAAGAATCAATCATAGAAAAATCTTAATCATCGACTTAATCTTTATCTTATTTAATGGCTTCTTTTATCTTTTTTAAAGTTTTATCGGCATCTCGTAAAAGTCATAGGCTCATAGTTCATGATTAGAAATTGACCTTCATGAGCACATGACATAGAAAAGTCATGTGCTCATGAAGGGCTCTTTAGAATGTTCAGATTCATGTTCTGTACCTAGGTTCAGGTTCAAGTTCTGTACCCATTCACTTTTCAGTAAAGTTCAGTAAGGAGTACATTCATAGCAATATTTCTAGAAGTCTACTCAAACTTTTTAGTCTTTCTTGCTGAAACTTATGTGCGCATGTTAATTGTATACGAAAGACACTGCAAAATGGTTGTTGCTTATCTTTTCTAACTTTTAAATCGTTTAAGTTTCTGCGTAAGATATTGTTGCAGACTGCTGCGTATTCCATTATATTCGCTGCATATTCTTTTATTGATTATAAACCTAGCACGCGCGAAGAAACGTTTTAAAAGTTATTTTTAATGTCTAGAGCTATTATTTCAATTGTGGAAATAATTAAACATTAGAAAAAACCGCATAAAAGAAAAAAAGTGACTTGTTCCGGACTTGGTAACTGTTCCAATAGCTTAAAGAGTTCATCGACATCGAGAACACTGTGCTCAAGATGCGCACCCAGCGAGTCATGGTCATTACTGGACTTGGTAACTGTTCCAATAGCTTAAAGAGTTCATCGACATCGAGAACACTGTGCTCAAGATGCGCACCCAGCGAGTCATGGTCATTACTGGACTTGGTAACTGTTCCAATAGCTTAACGAGTCTCGGACTCAAATCGTTTCGGACTTATCGATAAGTTCCGAGGTCGATAAGGTTCCGGAATCATTAAGAACTCGTTCAGCAGGTCTACTACATCAAATATTATATATCAATCGAAAATTATTGGCTTCTCGGAATACCTGAAAAGCCGCTCTCATCTCATCATCTTTTGTCGATGGTTTTTCAGCCAGCATATTGATGAAGTCAATAAAATCGATCGTTTCCCTTCCATTAATCATTTTTTGTAGTTGACTATCCGGGTAATCTCTTCTCAATTGCCGCATCACGAAGCCCAACTCGTTGGCCGCAATTCTTCCACTTCCTTTCTTGTCCATCATCCCAAAAGCGTCTTGAATCTCCTGATCGCTCAGCTCGGGAACGAATCCTTTTAAGCTGAATTTTTGTCTATATTCTAGGAAATTATATTTTTAGTTTATAAAGTTATTTAGTTGATTGCATTTTAGAGTATTTAAATCAAAAAAAATGCAATCAAGTTAGTCACCAATTTTTGTGTTCAATTGTTGAATCTCAAATTGATGAAAACGAACCGGAAGTGGGACAAAAGGGATTCGAGTGTTGAGCTTTTGTGAAAACTTAGAAACCGTAAAATAGTCATCAACTCGACTCGCCTGGATGCACTACTATTAGAGAGAGTATATGCTTTATTCAAGGCGAGGGGAATAGAAGCGATTCAGATAATCATATCCGCATATAACATATTGCTACAATACTTTCACAAAAGAAAGAAAACTAAAAATAGTACAGGGTGGGCCAAAATTACCGTTAGGATGCTCACTCGCGCGCAAATGCGTGGGACAGTGGGACAGTGGGACAAATGCGATCTTTTTTTTGCGCACCTGGACATTTGCGCACCTTTTTTTCCGCACTCAGCCCATCAGCGCACCTTTTTTCGCGTTTTAAAAAAGCTCTAAAAGCTAACATGAACCAATTTCTATTCCAAAAGTTGTTTTTCTAGGTAATTCTAGGGCGTCGAATCGAAATTTTGGCATATCAGAGCGTGTGGAATCAATTTGAAAGATAAAACGGCTACCGTAAATACTGTAATTGGACCCCACTCCCCTCGTACAGTCGCGTAGTCGCGTATTTCATTTTTTTCAAAGCACCCGTACTTTCAAAAAATGCGTCTTTGGTATCAAAAAATAGCCCTGAATTTCAGCTATTTTTTGATATTCAAACGAACACTGTAGCTTAAAACAGTGTCGAGAAAAATGCGTCCAAAGCTAGACTACGCAACGCTCCGCACCGTCATTATGGGGGTGGGGTACTATTACAGTATTTACGGTAGGTCAAATTACGGTTCCTTATCTCTCTAAATTTGGTTCCTTATCTCTCTAAATTTGGTTCTTATCTCAACGAATTTGGTTCCTTAACTCTCTAAATTTGGTTCCTTATCTCTCTAAAGTTCAGTTGTTTTTCTAGGTAATTTGAGGGTGTAGAATTCAAATTTTGACATAACAGAGCGTGTGGAACCAATAAAACCAAGAAAGATAAAGCGGCTAGGTCAAATTACAGAAAATTGTCGATTTTTCTCTTTGTAGAACTCCGTCCGTTCGCTTCCACAAGCTCTGATATGTCAAAATTTCGATTCTACGCCCTAAAATTACCTAGAAAAACAACTTTTGGAATAGAAATTGGTTAATATTAGCTTTTAGAGCTTTTTAAAACGCGAAAAAAGGTGCGCTAATGGGCTAAGTGCGGAAAAAAAGGTGCGCAAATGTCCGGGTGCGCAAAAAAAGGTCGCATTTGTCCCACTCCCAAACGAACCTCATCTTTTGATTTGTAAATCTTTAAGATTGTAGTCAAAGAATATAACAATAAGAGAAATGATTTGAAAAGGTTCAATTCTGTCAGCCAACCGGTGCCTTTTATACAGAAATCAACTTCCGTTAACTAAAAAAAAACTCCGATAATTGCTTCGAAAAAAGCTCCGATAATTGAAAAACCCGGAAAAATCCTTCGATAAACGAATGAATTATAAATGAATGAATGAATTCGGAGCTGACAAACGAATTTAGCCATTTGGTTCAAAAAATCAAGAATAATTTGAAAATTCGAAACTTTTCGTTCTTGTTCCTGTATCAGCCAAACTGATATTTTAGGTACTATTATTATTGAATGATTTGTCTAATCTTATGTAATCTTGTCTAATCTTGTGTTCTCCCCTGTGCTTATCCCTTTCATCGCCGAGAAGGGGCAGTCCTTGGGATTGCTTAGGAGGACAAGTGTGGCTCTCACTTGGAGTTCCACCCTTCCCCTTACACCCATTTGTAATCTATTCATCTTATTGTATTACTGTAAATAAAGATACATACCTTCCGGGTCTATGCAACTGCAGTTCAGCTCGGTCATTTCACAGGGACTCTCCTCTAATACGTTGGAGGAGTTGAGTTGGGTTGTCAGGGTGTTAGAGATGGCAGGGTATCAAAAGGGATCCACTCTCTTTCACTTAACCCAAATTCTAGTCCATATCCGTTTACACCTACCGTAAATACTGTAATAGTACCCCACCGTCTTGTCTCTCTAATCTTGTCTAATCTTGGGTTCTCCCCTGTGCTTATCCCTTTCATCGCCGAGAAGGGGCAGTCCTTGGGATTGCTTAGGAGGACAAGTGAGGCTCTCACTTGGAGTCCCACCCTTCCCCTTTCACTTATTTGTAATCTATTCGTCTTATTATACTACTGTAAATGATTGCTCCTTGGGGTTGCTTAGTGTCTAATCTTGTGAGTGTACGAAGTAAATAAATGAGAATTTTAAACGATTTTCAAAACGAAAAACGAAAAACCAAACATTTATTCATCGATTATGATTTGGCACCAAGTATGAACATCGAAAAATGAGTTTAGAAATCTGATTTTGGACGTTCCTTGATCCATTTGGCGATTTGTGGGATTTTCTCGACGGTTTCCCTCAACTTGCGCACCTGAATTGAAGTGAAGATTGATTTGAAGGTTGAAATTTGTACTCATCGAGTACTGTATCAAGTACTGTCTTAAGTACTGTATCAAGTACTGTCTCAAGTACTGTCTCAAGTATTATATCAAGTACTGTCTCAAGTACTGTCTCAAGTACTATATCAAGTACTGTATCAAGTACTGTCTCAAGTACTGTTTCAAGTACTGTATCAAGTACTGCAAACAAAGTGCATTATTTGCAAAAGAAACCTCTGGATACGGATCCAAATCCTTTGCGCTAAAGTCGAGCAAATGACTGATGTGATCGGCGATCTGGATGTCGGCATAGGTCACCGACTTTCCCACCTAAAAAAACTTTACTATCGAGAATTTTAGTGATTTTTCAAAGAAGCCTAAGCGCTTTGCTCATTTCATTTTCAATTTTGATGAATTTGGCTAAACTTACCAAGAATCCGGTGTTGTTTTGCTTCAACTGTTTCTCAAGAGCTCCGAAGAATTTATCTCTCGCTGGGACAAAGTCCTTTTCGTAAGCCTCTTCCTAAAATGATCAATAAGTATTGAAGAGGGTACAGGCAAGTTAAAAGGCTCAAAAAATTAAAAAGGTTTATTATTTCTCTACAAAATGGCTTTTGAGAGAAAGCTCAAAGCTCGCCTTAGCTCGATAAAAACTTATTTTTCTTTATTTTCAATTGCTGTTTTAAAGAAAATGACTGAACGGATCGTTTTCAAATTTTACAGACTTATGTAATCAAATCAGCTCTATCTTTTTGCTTTGGCATCAAAATAGGTTATTATTGAAGAAAGTGTCCAAATTACGACTTCACCGTCGAGGCATTTTTGAGTTTCAAGGCAGTTTCAAATGCTTTTGCGCATTTGAAAATTCACAAAAACAACTACTTCCAAGAATTTCTTAAAAGCCATTTTGTAGAGAAACAATCAAGCTTTTTAATAGGTTAAGTAGAAATTTTGTTAGTGACAGTGTTACTTTTAAAAGACGTTTGGAAACAGAGAAAGTTATGCATCAACTTAATATTAATTCTATCACGTGGATCAGACCATTTAACACTTTTTCCAATCATAATCCCTTTAGAAAATTATCAAATATTTCGTATGCTATTGTAAAGTTTTAAGTGAAACCTATTTTGTTATGGTAAAACGATTCCACCAACCGCATTTCCCTGTTCCCATCCGCGGGCAAGGTAGATCCAATTGTTCACATCTTTCTTGTAGTCTCTGTACAAGTCATAGAAGGAATCAACAAGGGCCTGCTCGACTGCGGTTTTACCGGCAAATCCTGAAACATAAAGATAAATTGGTACTTGGATTGCTTGTAAACCTTTTTGGCTTTCAAAAACCCACCAAATTCTCGGGCCAAGTAGCGGAAAATCGCGCCGGATTGGGCGATTTTCAAACCATTCACTTCAAGGACTGGCATTTGACCAAAAGGCATCTCTAAAGCTCTATTATTGATACAATTATCTACTATATAAAAGAGGTAACTGTATCTGATAAATCATATTCATCCGATACAGTTATCCGATTATCCGTCCGTCTGATTATCTGCGAATTCTCGGCTTCCCGTAAGCCGATTTACATGATTTTTAGTTTCTTAGGCTTAGAATTCTATGTACTTTTGCAGTTCATATTTTGTTTTTTAAGAAACAAAAGTCATGACACAGCCGGGAGTCGAACCCGTGTGGTGTGGGCCGTAGACAAGCGCGCTCTCAACAGGCCCGCCCGCCCGCCCGCGCGCAGCCAGCCGAGCCCGAGCCCGAGCCAGCCGGCCTGAGCCGAGCCCGCCCTGGCCTGAGCCTGAGCCTAAGCCAAAAAAATGGGGACAGCCCAAACCCCAAGCCTGAGCCTAAGCAAAAACGAGCTATTAGGCGAGCTTTTCGGATTATAAGATTATGTAAAGTCTAAGCAATGAATCTAAGATGTTATACCTGCTTTGTGTGCTGGCCAAGTGTCGTCCGTGTATCTCACATCTTCAAATTCCTTTCCAGCCAAAGCGAACAGTTGACGCGCTGGCTCACCAACTCCACGTCCATCAAAGTAAAACAATTTGTAGACCATTTTGGGAAATAAAGGACGGTAACTAAATTGCGATTTAGAAGCCAAATCAATGACCGATTTTGTCTTAAAGAAATAAAAATGAAAGGCTTGTCTTGGATTGAAATTGGATTGAAAATTGACATTAAAAGAAAATGTGTCAAAAATTTTTGTATACAGCAAAAGTAAGAAAGAAGAGATTTAAACAACATTCTTCTTTTCCAAATTGTTTAGAGGCTTTTCTGAAAGCTCTGAGCAATTCAGAGAGAAAATTGCACACAACTGATAAGCTGAAATGATGAGTGAACTCTCGACAAAACCCCCCTTTTTATATCACTTTCCCTGGAATAGTTTCTGCTTTCTTTCTATTCTTTTTGTCATCGAAACACGGCCAAACTCAGCTAGTTTCTGTTCTTGAGAACCCTAGTTTGTGTTTTTTCCGTCTTAGTGTGAAAAAAGTTAAGCTTTATAGGGTAGAAACTAAATAGATTGACGTTTTGTGTATACTTGGCTCTGGCAAATTGGGGAGTGGCTTGTTTACACAAATCAACAGAAGTTAACAGAACAGAAGTTTCCTCTAATTCCATTCCATTCCATTGAAGCAGCTGGATCTATAAAGTAAGCCATAATCCTTTTTTTGATAAAGTTATAACTTCTTTTCTTTATTTTTAAAAACAAAGATTTCTTTGGTGTGTTTTCCTGCCGAAAATGACAATAATGTGGTCCCTGGGATACTGGTGTTAATCCAAGTTCTCTAACCAATCCAGACTCAATCTCGGTCAGCCAAGCCAACACTACAAGGACTTGCTAGAGCCAGTGATTAGGTCAAATTGTGATTGTTAAAACAAATTTAACCTAACCTTTGAGATTAATTTTCAGCGCTGATTCCCTAATAACAAAAAACAAAATAAATCCTAATTGGCAAGAGTTTTGTCCTCATCAGAGTTTTCCTCAGCAGAGATTTTCAAAAAAGGCCAAAGAGCTTGTAACCCTGATCACGCAAGACCAAAAACACTTAGACCCCAGTATTCAGGGCTAGATTTTCAGGTCCAGGTGCTTGAGTCAAGTCTGTAGTAAAGCCTCATGACCTACGGACATCGTTTCTACACGGTGACAGGATTATTGCAACCGACATCAATGTTTATTCCAACAACTCTCTCTATACTTAAGAAAGATCTTCTTCCGTGAGCCAAAAATCACTTTAGCAACAGGATTTGGTGTCGTAGGATGATACTTATGCTCACAAAGCTCGAGTGGTTCAGAACTGGCATTTTCCCGATTTGGCCACCCTCAAACCCTGATCTTAATCCGATAGATTTCAGTGTTTTGAATGTTTTTGAAGCAAAAACGTGCTCAAAACCGCATTCCAGCATCGATTCGCTTAAGAAATCTTTTCAAAAAGCATGTGATAAACCGATCCCGCTTACCATTTGGCTGCATTTCCATTGGCTGTTGCATTGGCTGTTGATGCATTTCCAAAATGTCATCAGGCCCATAGAGATCTTTTTAAAAGGAAATAGTTTTTCTTCTTTATAAAATCTATAAAAATCAATTGTTAAAGTTTTTGAGTTGATTTCTCTTTTATTGGTTTCTCTTCTTAAAAAAGGTTGCAATAATTCTGCTACACCTTGTCAATCCATAACTTACGCAAATTCGATTAATAGAGGAACTTCTGCAACTTTACTTAATTATTATACAAACTTGTCTTTGTAAATGTTTTGCTGAAATCGTTTGTGAGCATCGATTCCTCGTTATCAGTTTTATGGAAACAAATGAAAGAAAGAAAGCAGTCTTGGACGATTCATTCAAAGAAAAATCGACAATTCTTTGACTTTTCGTTTAACTTTCAACACTTAACATTAACCATCCACATATTTTTATATGAAAACTTTCTTGCTTTTATTCTCAATTCTAACTACGAGTACAGCTATTTACTGTAATGTGGAGATAAGTGGAAATGGGGGAACAGGTTAGTTTGTTTAAAATAAAATTTGGCCTCATTCTGTACTGCTTGAATTTTGGAGAAAATGACGGTAATACAGAGCTATAAAGATAAATAAAACTCTTGATATCTTCATAACTTAGAATTTCCTTAGAAACAAATGCTCTTTGTAATCGAATTTAGCTCAAATTTTGAAAATTCTTTCTTACATTCTCCAGAAATATTCGGATTACTTATTTCTTATTCATTCTCACTCAACCATTCACATTTGCAGTTACTCAATTTGCATTTAAGAATTTTGGTGCAACTGTGGCGATTTCTGTTTGACATTTCGGTATCAGGTGAGCTCAAAATTAGTCTACAGGGCTGGAATGAATAAAACTGGAATTTAAGCTGTCATTTATTAGGCTAGTTATTAACTAGGGATATTTTTGGATTTACACCTCAGTTTTAGGCCAAGACCTAGCAAATCTTGTTCAGTTTTTTGTGCTGATTCCGATGGTGTTTATCGTTTGGGGATGATGGTCCTAAAATTTTTAGATATTTTGCTTCAAAGTTTACATCAACATTGGGCATCCACAAAACCGCGCACCCACGAGTCAAAAGGGTTCTACAGAAGTCTGGAAACCTCAGCTCGTGGCCTAGTGAATAGTGGCCTAAGGCTTTCGCTCTTTTGTTTCTAGTTCAGATCCGGCTCAACTTTTTGGTATTTTGACGTAAACGAAGCGAAATATCTCAAAGTTTTAGGACCGTCATCCCCAAACGACATACACCATCGGAATCAGCGCAAAAAACTGAACAGGATGTGCTAGGTCTCGGCCCAAAACTGAGGTTTAAATCCAAAAGCACCCCTAGTAAGTCTTACACTCTTCATTTCATTATCTAAATGAACGACTCTCAAATTACCAAATACCCAACGATTTCTTTCATTATAAATATTTATCCTTTACTTTTTGCCATTTTAAAACAATTTTTAGGATTTTAGAATAATTTGCGTGAATGAAAACGGGCATTTTTAAAAATATTGAAAGATGAGCACATAAAGGAAATCGCTAAACGGATTCTTCTGAAATTTTGGTTGTAGATCGAACTCTTTGCGCAGTATCTTTTTCATTTTGCCATTAAAATAGTTTTCATTAAAAGAAAGGGTCGAAATCGCATCATCGGACCTTGTCGTTTTTGAACACTAGGCTTCTTGCTAATGAAAAACCTTCAAAATAAAGCTTTCCAGAGACTTTCAAAAGTTCTTTGCAAGAGAAATGATTGAGCTATCCAAAGAATATCCAAAAAACCGTATTTCATTTGGTATCTTGAGATTTTTTCAATTAGAAAATGACTTTGGATGAAAGAGTTAGTACTCAGCCTAATATTGGGTTGGTGAATTGAAAACTGCCGGACTTTGAACTAAAATCTATTCAACATAAAACCATCAATTCATTCCAAATAATTTCCATTATTATTGACGACTTCTGCCCATTTTACAGGCAATTTGCGGATTCCTCTCTCGTAGTAGGATTTTGGTTTGTGTGTGAGACAAGTGTGAGACTCAGAAATGGAGGACTGGAGATGTCCCCGTTTTAGCACTTTCTTCAAAAGAAACCCATTTTGGTGTCAATAGAAAAGTTGTAGAGAATTAAAAATTAGGCTTATAGCCAAATTTCCAAAAAGATACACTTAGTAGTTTCGCTTAAAATGCAAGTTTTGTGAAAATTGGCATTTCTTTTGTAAATTTGGCATTTCTTGAAAACCAGTTTTAGAATCGTTCTGAAAACTTGGATATAAGCTTGATTTTTGATTCTCTACAACTTTTCCATTGACACCAAAATGGGTTTCTTTTGAAGAAAGTGCTCAAACTGTCACATATGACAATAGTCCGCAGTTTTCAATTCACCAACCCAATATTTAAGTGAATTTTCAGGGGAAATCACTCGGTGGCTGTGGTTGCAATAATGGATTGGCAGTGTGCCAAGTAAATTGTCAGCTTATCAATCGAACACACGTTTTTTGTGCAAATTGAAAAGCGTTGGAATTTCAGAAAGAGGGTTGGAACAAGTACAGAAACAAATGGGTCTACTGCTGTGCTAAAGATTCATGCAACAAATAACTAAAGAATTTTGTAGCTTTTTCAAATAAAAATTGATTTTGTTCAGTAAATTAAAGCATTAACTTTTTATTTTTGACAATCTGAATAAATCTTTCCGGTTGAGCTATTGGGTTGGGGAGAAGGTCGCCCGAACTTAAAGGGACTTTGCACAAAGCCTTCTTTAAACCGTTTGGTTTCATCAAAAGGATCCACTATTTCTCTACAAATGACTTTTGAGAGTTCCACAAAGCTTTTCTTTCGTGGGTTTATGAACTTCCAAACGCAGCTGGTTAAATGGCAAAGAGTCCGACTCTCATTTGAACAGTTTCTTTCACATAAACCTCTTTGGTGTTTATATAAAAAGATAGAGCAATTCAATTACTTAAGTTGCCAAATTTGCAGGAAGATCCCACCAATGGTTTTTTCTAGATGACAGTTTGTAGTTTTTGTGAAAAAATGGCTTTTTCTTGAGCGGAGGCGCTGTTTGAATTTTCTTTTAAATGTCATTTTGTAGAGAATTAGTTAACCATTCTACTCATATCAAACGCATATTATTTGACGAAGTCGAATAGAAGTTTTAGACATTTTTTTGATTTTCGGCGCCGACTCATTCTCCCCAACCCAATAATAGCAATCCCGATTGCATCAAAAGCTAAAGCAAGTCAGTCAAAAAGCTTCACTTTTATCAAACATACAAAGAAATTGAGAAGCTTTTGAAAGTTCAAGTCTTTCAAATTTCCACAGATTCTCTAAAGTAGCAGTTGATGAGTAATAAATTTCGTTAATATTTTACTTTAAATCACGTTTCTTGAATCAAAAATTGTTGAAATTTCGAAAATCTTGACAATAAAAAGCTGCTTCTCAATTTCCTCGTATGTTTGATAAAAGTGAAGCTTTTTGACTGACTTGCTTTAGCTTTTGATGCATGTTTTTTATCTGGTTTGAAAGTGACAGATGGATTTGGGGATAGGCTAGTTTTCGCCACTTTTTTTGCGCAACAGGGTCATTTGCCCAACTCGCCATGACTTTCTTCCAGGTGGACCAACCTTTATGACTTTAGTTTCATTTTGTTGCACCTATTGAGATCTACAAAATGAAACCAAAATCATAAAGATTGGTCGACTTAGAAGAAAGTAATGGCGAGTTGCGCAAACGACCCTGTTGCGCAAAAAAAATTGCGGAAATTAGCCTACCCCTGGATTTGCTCTGAAAGCAACCTATTTCGATCGAAAAACATCAACAGCTCAAATTGAGGACTGTGCAGATGCGAAACTTCATCTGCATTGCATTTTGTGTCTAATCCACCGGTCGTTTTCTTTTTACTTAGATTTTCAGCAGAAAGCTGAAGACGATGGTGGCTTTTGAAAAGCTAATGTACGATCCAGGCCTAGGACTAGCCCTGTTGCTAGCAATTTGACTAAAATCCTTGACACACTTAAGTATACGATAGCGTTATGGTATTTTCCTGGAATACTGAAGTAAGACAGAAAAAAACCTACAATGATTCCAGCCTCGAGATCGAGATTATTGGAGTTCTAGGTGATATTTTTCCATCATACTTAGGAGAGTACTTTCCCCCTTTACACTTTTGTGGCGAATTGCCACTGCTCTGGAGTTATTCAAAATTCAAGACACAAGTTAAAATTCAAAGCTGATAGATAAACTATTGTAGTCAGCCACTAGACGATATTCAGTTGTCCGTTTGTCTCAGCCAATTTTAACTCCTCTTCTTCAATCTCTTCACCTCTAAAAAAGGTAACTTTATTGAGAAGTCTTAAAGGTAGATTTTCAATATGAAATGTAACATGACCAACCGGGTTTGTTGCTTTAACGGTGGAGCGTTGGTCGATTCGACAAAGGAGATCTGTTCAACGGGAATCGCCTCTCTTTCACTTGTCGAAACACCGATTATCTGTAATTCTTATTTGAATTTTTAGCTATTCGGCTTATTTATCTTACCTCGTATGTTTTTCGAGCCTCAACAATCGGACTTCGGAAGCCATCCTTTTGAGAATCTCGTTTCTGGATGGTTGGTTTTTGTTTCCTACTAGTTTTTGAGAAAGAGAATAAAAACTGAAAATTCAGAGATTCAATTGAAAATAAAACAACCTCTCCGTGTAATTGCCAAAATTTTTTGAGAACCAATGGCAAAATGACTTTCATAAGGAAACATTTTCCTAGTTCCCAAGTTTGGAAACCATTTAAATTGAGTAACGGATGGGTTTATAGTCGAATTATCCAAATTTTAACAACAATAAGCTTAACTTTGCGACTCTTTCACAATCTTAACTTTAAAATGCAAGCTTATCTCTTTTACTTTCAACTTCTTTTTACAATGAAAAGGTTTTTGAATGTAAATCTTTTCAGCCAACAAAACAAAGAGCCAAGAAAATTTCCTAAACAATTTCCTTACGTCATCTTTTTCTTATCAGATCGATCGAAAGTTTGAGCCAAATAACAAGTCGATTTTCTTCTTGTCATTGGATAAAGTACTTGTAATGCAAAGTAATGCAAGGTTATTTCTTTCACTTTCAACTTTTTTAGACAACGAAAAGGTTTTTGGATCTTTTCAGTCAGCAAAGCTTTTGCAAGAATGTTTCCCAATAAATCGCGTATTTTCTTACTCCAGATTTTTCTTTCTCTGAACCAACCAACAAATCGATTTTCTTCTTGTCATTGAATAAAGTTCTTCAAATTTTAACTTCTTATTTCCTTCAGAAAACATTCAGCAATTCTTTATCCTTGATTCTTTAAATCCTTTACCGATCTTAATTCTTCAATTCCTGTAGTATCGTGTGTGCTTCCACTTCAGATTTAAAATATATTTTGATATTTCTATGGTCTATTTTTGCAACCCGCTTCAGTTACCCAACTTTTCTGGATTAGCAGATCCGACTGCTTGTTTGTACTTTGTGCTTAAAAGAAGTGTAAACACACTTTTCGTGGCACAATCAGTTCTTTTTTTCAATGTATAATACTAATCGAAAATGATAAGGTGCTTTGCCGTTTTGAGCGGTAAGGAATAGCTTCGATAATTGTCCAAATTTCAGTTACAATGTTCTCTTATCTCCCAAAAGTTTTGAAAGAAATGGTTGTGGAATTTGTGGATACAAGAGAATTACTAAAATTCCCGCAAATCAACCACGATCTCCGACAATTCGTCCTACAGAATGGCCCATTTTCAAAAACTTTGCGAGAATTTGTGATTTTTGCTGATGGCGCAGGGTTAAGAAACAATGAGCTTTATACGGAAAATCTTCAAATTTACATGAAAACTAAAGAAAACGAGTACACATTCAGGTAAGCTTGACCAAAAACAACTCAAAATATAATATCCACGCAAAGTTGTTGGCTAAAAAGCTAAACCCCGCCAATTATGGGCGGGACTTAACCTTTTGACTCATAATTTTACCCGGATATTATATTTTGACTTAATTCTTTTGAGCTGAGAATAAGGGAATTTATCCAATAGGGTCAAGGTCATCGAATGATACGAAAAACAACTCAAAATACGCTTTTTTTTTGCTTGTTTTTGAACACCAACCCTTTACTTTCGAATATTTTGACTATCATTCAATGCAGAATAAAATTGATTTCAAAAACAATTCAAAATTTCAATTTCATGCAAAGTTTTTAACTAAAAACCTAAACCCCGCCAATTATGAGCGGGGCTTAACCTTTTGCGTTATAATTTTACGTGGATATTATATTTTGAGTTAATGCTGGTATCATTCGATCCGTAATTCCATTCTGCATCAAATGATAGTCAAAACTGACAAAATCGAAGGGTTGGTGCTGAGAAAAGGATGAAAAACCTTCAATTGCCAACGGCAAAAAAGGACCGACTTTCGGTACAAGTCCAATCTCAATAATTTACTACAATATTTTCAGAGATTCGCGTTTCGATCGAGACATCAAACTTCTCATCTACTTCATCAAGAAAATTCAATTTTGTCAAGAAATCAGTATCATGAGCTTAAACCGTGGATTGGTGTATTCATTCACTCAAATATTTCGTTATTTCAGCCTTTTCGCTGCCCCAAATTCTCCTAGAAGACGAAAAAACAACGGACATCTCAAAATCCGCAATTTCTTGCCTGCAATCAAAAATGTCAAAAAGTGGACAATTTTCCAGACTAACCTTGTAAATCTCAGCTTTTTGTTGAATAATATCGACTTCGGTTCTTACAAAAAGCTAACAATTGGCTCAAAGTATCCAACCGGGCAGCAGATTTTGGTTGAGAATTTGGAGAGACCGATCGATTGTAAAGGAGTCAAAGTGCTAAATAGCGATGAGGTTTGGAAATTGACAAGTCACCTAAAAAAACAACGAGAAGAAATTGATGGATTGGAAGAGGAAATGATACAAGAAATGATACAAGAAGAACAGTCACGTCTTTGGGCTTTCGATTATTTGAAGGAAGGAGAAGAGGGCAAAGAATTGGCTAAAAAGACTCGAGAAAAATTGACTGAAGAGAAGAAGATTTGGAAACAACGGAAAAGAGATGTGAATCGATCGATTACGTTTAAAAGCGAAAAGCATCAACGAATGAAAAGACAGAATTTTCACCGAAAACAATAAGGAATTGCTGATTGTTTTCTCATTGAGCTTTTTCTTGATCCTTTAGTTTTCTTTTGAATAAATCGATTACAGAGTGGTCTAGAGCAACACGATATTTGTTGAAATCAGCGAACTACAACTTAAAAATCATCTATTCAGAATTTATCAGCATTCAAATCTTCGATGTTACACGCAAAGAATAAAGGAAAATGGAAATAAATATGTTTGTTTGTGCAATAAAAAGATATTGGGTTGGTGAATTGGAAACTGCTGGCTTTTTTGCGGGACTCGCAGATGAAAAAACAACAGCATTGAACCAGCTGAAAGGGGGTTTGGTTACTTCAACATTTCCACTAATTATTGCGAAAAAATTACGCTCCCAGCTTTTTATTTTTTGGTATTTTTCTTCACTTCTTCCATTGCACTCGACAATCTGCCACCGGGACATATTCGTCATTTCATGCTTCATGAGTTCCTACAAGAGCACAGTACAGGCTTGGCAGCTGCTAATATTAAAAAGATATATGGGGAGGACTCACCTTCCGAAAGAACGTGTCGAGTATGGTTTGCGAAGTTTCGATCTGGGGACAAATCTTTGAAAGATGCAGAGGGAGAAGAAAGGAGAAGAGGGCGAAGAATTGGCTAAAAAGACTAAAAAGAAAAAGTGAACCGATCAATTAGGTTTAAAAGAGAAAAGACCGAATTTTCACCGAAAACAATAAAGAATTGCTGATTGTTTTCTGATTGAGCTTGTTTTGATCCTATAGTTTTGAATAAATGGATTACAGAGTGTTCTAAAATTAGAGCAACTTGATATTTGTTGAAATCAGCGAACTGCAACTTTAAAATCATCTATTCAGAATTTATCACCATTCAAATCTTCGATGTTGCTCGCAAAGAATAAAGGAAAATGGAAATAAATATGTGTCTTTGTGTAATAAAAAGATAAATGTTTGTTTTTTTCCGACCCTTTTTCTTTCTTCGATCTTTTTCCGACCCTCAGAAAAAGAAAAGGATGGATCAGTGCAAGATGCTTCTCGTAAGGGCCTTTCGTGCTTAACATAGCACAACTCTTCTTACGGATGAAAAACTCTTCACGATCGAGCAATTTCACAACGCTCAAAATGATCGGAGACTCGCCAATAGCTCTGCCGATGCTGATAAAATTGGAAGAAGCGTCGTGAAAACATCTCATCCGTGTTTTTTTCTCCCGGAGTCACTGCAGATTCGCGGACCGACGTGTTTTTTGTTGGAAAGGGTGTGAAAATCGATGACGATTATTATTTCAATGAAATTTTAGAGAAAAAGGCGATGCATTGGGCAAACATAACCAACAATAATCAAAATTGGACCTTTATGCAAGACGGTGCCCCTGCGCACACAAAGAAGACGGTTCAAGCCTGGTGTTCAGCCAATTTCCCCAACGTGATCACCGCCAATGATTGGCCCCCGAAATCACCTGATCTCAACGTAATGGATTTTTTCCATTTGGAGTATCTTAGAGGCCAATGCTTGCTCTCAAAAACACACAAGTTTGGACGCTTTGAAGAAGTCTTTGACCAAAGCATGGAAAGAAATTACTCAAAGTCACATTCTAGCCGCCGTGGAGTCTTGCCCGAATCGCTTGAAGGCTATTATTAAAGCAAAAGGAGGACATATTGAATGGAAATTCTTAAATGATCAACTCTCCATCAGTCCATTTTTCACTCCTTAAGTTCGATCATTTGAAAAAGTGTGAAAACAAAAGGTTTCCCGTCTGGCTCAAAAGGTGTTTTATAGGGCTGTTATTAAAGCAAAAGGAAGACATATTGAATAGTCTCTCGTTTTCCTGTTTCTTGTTGTTCAATAAATTTCTTTTTGGTACAGAATTTTGGTATGAAATGCCTTGAATATCTTGTGCCGGTAATTATGGCGCACCCTGTAGATGCTTAATTCCAACGTGCAACAAAGTTGATGCAATAGTCTATTAACACGACGAGCGCTGTTTTAGTAGAGCTGCAGAAGCAAGCTTCAAAATAACCATATATAACCTTAACAACTTGTCACTAGAGCTAAACAATGATCAGAAACTCCAAATTTGATCTTAGATTCTTACGAAAACTTAAAGTTACAACTGTATGAACAAATTTTATCTCTCAACATTTAGATCAGCATTTAGATTAAACTCACCTATTGCTGGTGCTGAAAAATTCTCATAAAAACTAATTTAAAGTTTTCAAAAATAGAGATTTATCTTTTTATTGCCCAAACAATATAGAAATGAATATAGAACTTGATGCGCTTTGAAGAAAGAAATGACTTAAACCAGTTTAAATCAAGATTCTTTTCATTAAACGGTTCAGACATAATCAACTGTTTATCAAGCTCTGAACTTTAGTTCTTTCTTCAAACTTTATGGAGCCCTGTGTACAACAGAATCCAAATATGAATCATGCAAACTGTATGAACAAATTTTATCTCTCAACATTTACAGGGTACGTCATAATTATTGCAACAAGAGTTCAAAGACCGTTTTCCAAACAGCTTTCTTTTTTTTATTGCCCCCTTTTTTGTTGTGTTGCGTTTTATCTTCTTTATTCTTGCCTAATTGCCTCCCGCTCACACGAAGAAGACGGTTCAGGACTGGTGTGTGGCCAACTTTCCCTCAGTGATCACCAAGGATGAATGGCCTCCAAACTCACCGGATCTCAATGTGATGGACTTTTCCATTTGGGCAATCTTAGAGGCTAATGTCTGCTCTTTGACCTTGAAGAAGTCTTTGACCTGGAAGAAAGGATGGAAGGCGACTCCTCAAGATGACATTCGGGCCGCAGTGGAGGCATATCCGAACCGATTAAGGGCTGTTATCAAGGCAAAAGGCGGTCATATCGAATGATCTCTTGTTTCCTTATTTGTTACTGTTAAATAAAGCTATTTCTGTTTAAAAATTCTCTTCCAGTGAAACTTCTTGGTGTGCAATGCCTTGAGTATCTTGTTGCAATAATTATGACGCACCCTATAGAGATACAAAATTTGAACTGCCGGATTGCTGGCCCCCAGAAAGTTCTAATAAAAACTAATTTAAAGTTTTCAAAAACAAACATTGCATCTTTTTATTACACAAAGACACATGTTTATTTCCATTTCCATTTTCCTTTATTTTTTTCGTGTAATTGAAGATTTGAATGCTGATAAATTATAAATAGATGATTTTCAATTCCAGTTCGCTGATTTCAACAAATTTCGAGTTGCTGTAATTTTAACTCTGTAATCGATTTATTCAAACGAAACCTAAAGGATAAAGAACAAGCTCAATGAGAAAACAATCATCAATTCTTTATTGTTTTCGGTGAAAATTCTGTCTTTTCATTCGTTGATACTTTTCTCTTTTAAACGTAATTGATCGATTCACATCTCTTTTCTGTTGTTTCCAAATCTTCTTCTCTTGTCTCAATTTTTCTCGAGTCTTTTTCGCCAATTCTTTGCCGTCTTCTTCTTTCTTCAAATAATCGAAAGCCCAAAAAGGTAACTGTTCCCCGCATATCCTCTTTATCATCTCTTCCAATTCATCAATTTCTTCTCGTTGTCTTCTTAGGTGATTTCTCAATTTCCTTGCCAATTCCTTGTCCACTTTTCTTTCTTTTTTCAAATAATCGATAGCCCAAAGACGTGACTGTTCTTCTTCTATCATTTCGCGTATCATTTTCTCTGGCAATTCATCAATTTCATCTCGCAGTCTTTCTAGGTGTATTCTCCATGTCATAATCTCACCCAAATTTAGCACTTTGACTCCTTTACAATCGATCGGTTTCTCCAAATCTTCAACCAAAATCTGCTTTCCAGTTGGATACATTGAGCCAATTGTTAGCTCTTTGTAAGAACCGAAGTCGATATTATTCAGCAAAAAGCTGAGATTTACAAGTTCAGTCTGGAAAATTGTCCACTTTTTGACATTTTTGATTGGGGGCAAGAAATTGAGGATTTCGAGATGTCCGTTATTCTTTCTAGGAGAATCTGGGGCACCGAAACGGCTCGAACGAGGATAGTTGTGAATGAATATAAAACTGAATGGACAGTTTAAGCTCACGATGCTGATTTCTTGGCAAAATCGAATTTTCTTGATGAAGTAGATAAGATGTTGGATGTCTAGATCGAAACGGGAATCTCTGAAAATATTGTGGTAAATTATTGAGATTGGACTTGTATCAAAGGCGGGCCTTTTTTAGCGTTGGCAATTGAAGGTTTTTCGTGTTTTTCTCACAACCCTTTGCCTTTGATTGTTTTGACTAACATTCGATGCAGAATAGAGTTGCGGATCGAATAATACCAGCATTAACTCAAAATATAATATCCACGTAAAATTATGAGCCAAAAGGTTAAATCCCGCCCATAATTGACGGGGCTTAGCCTTTTAGCTAACAACTTTGCATGGAATTTATATTTTGAGTTGTTTTTGGTATCATTCGACGCACAATTTTATTCTGCATTGAATCATCAGTCAAAGTAGTCAAAATCGAAGGGTTGGTGCTGAGAAAAAGGGAAAAAAAGCCTAAATTGCCAACCGCAAAAAGAACCGACAGGTGTTTTCGTTACAAGTCTGATTGAGGCTATAGCGTTTTCTCAATGATGCACTTTCAAAAAGCTACCTTATCCCATTATGTTTTAGCTAATAAAGAAGTTAGTATCAATACAGATTTGTGTCTTTTTTTATTGCAAGCGTACCTGAATGTGTACTCGGCTTCTTTGGTTTTCATGCAAATTTGAAGAGTTTCCGGATAAAGCTCATTGTTTAGCCCTGTGCCATCAGCGAAAATCACAAGTTCTCGCAAAGTTTTTGAAAATGGGCCATTCTGGAGGACGAATTGTCGGAGCTCGTGGTTGATTTGTGGGAATTTCAGTAATTCTTTTGTGTCCACAAATTCCACAACCATTTCCTTCAAATCTTTTGGGAGATAAGAAAACATTGTAACTGAAATTTGGACATTTTTCAAAGCTATTCTTTACTGAGCAAAACGGCAAAGCGCCTTATCATTTTCGATTAGTATCATGGCATTGAAAAAAGAACTGATTATGCAAAGAAAAGTTTGTAAAAGTCGTTTTTGAGCACAAAGTACAAACGAGTAGTCGGATCTGCTAATCCACAAATGTTGGGCAACTGAACTGGGTTTTCAGAAATAGACCATATATTAGGTTGATGCATAAGTCTTTTCGTTTTTTTCGTACTTCTGTTAAAAAGTAACAAATTCACCAATTAATCTATAGTTTGCTCTATAAAAAAAGTGTTTTTTTGTTCAATTTGCATCTTTTTAAATGAATTTCGGTTCACTTTCAAGCAAATTCGAGAGTGAAAAACGCCTTTTTCGTAAAAATCTATAAAAAACTCTACGGAAAAATTGGCTGAATGAATTTCTCTGAAATTTTGGCGAAATATCAAACGTTTTTTTTCTCTATCTTTTATCTATTGACACGAAGATAGGTTTTCTTTAGCTAAGGTGTCTAAACCGCATCATCGAGTTAGCCCTTTTTGACTACCCGACTTCATACTCTCAAGAAAATCCAGGCATTAAATATTTTTAAACCCGTTTTAATGTTATTTTGCAGAAAAATAATTGGTTTTTCTAATGAAATCAACCGTAGTTCAATTGGTGCATTTGTTGGCTTGAAACGGCAGACGAAAAGGAACGAAAACACTTATGCATCAACCTATTAAATATCAAAATATATTTTCAATCTGAAGTGGAAGCACACACGATCACTAGAGAAATTGTAGAATTAAGATCGTTAAAGGATTTAAAGAATCAAGGATAAAGAATTGCTGAAAGTTGTCTGAAGGACACAAGAAGTTAAAATTTGAAGTACTTTATCCAATAAAAAGCAGAAAATCGACTTGTTGTTTGGCTGAAACTTTCGATCGATCTGATAAGAAAAATATGACGGAAGGAAGTTGTTTAGGAAAGTTTCTTGCAAATTCTTGGTTGGCTGAAAAGACTTACATCCAAAAAGTTGAAAGTGAAAGAGATAAGAAAATGCAAATTTTAAAGTTAAGATTGTAAAAGAGTCGCAAAGTTGAGCCTATTTTTGTTAAAATTTGGATAATTGGACTCTAAACCCATCCGTTACGCAATTTAAATGGTTTTCAAAGTTGTAAACTAGCAAAATGTTTCCTTACATTACAAATTTTTAGGACCGTCCTCCTCAAATGACATACACGATCGGGCATACGGACAATAGCGGAATTAGATCGGAACAGGATGTGCTAGGTCTCGGCCCAAAACTATTGGGATTGCTATTAGACTTATTCAGATTTTCAAACCGGAAAGATTTATTCAGGTTGCCAAAAATAAAAAGGGAATGCTTTAATTTACTAAACAAAATCAATTTTTATTTGAAAAAGCTACAAAATTCGTTAGTTATTCGTTGCATGAATCTTTAGCACAGCAGTAGACCCATTTGTTTCTGTACTTGTTCCAACCCTCTTTCTGAAATCCCAACCCTTTTCAATTTGCACAAAAAACGTGTGTTCTATTGATAAGCTGAAAATTTACTTGGCACATTGCCATTCCATTATTGCAACCACAGCCACCGAGTGATTTGCCCTGAAAATTCACTTAACTATTAGGTTGAGTACTAGCTCTTTCACTCAAAGCCATTTTCTAATTGAATAAGATCTCAAGATACCAAATGAAATAAACCCGACAAAACCGCAAGAAGTCGAGTGTTCAAAAACGACAAGGTCCGATGATGGGATTTCGACGGTTTCTTCCAATGAAACCTATTTCAATGGCAAAATAAAAAAGATACTGCACAAAGAGTTCGATCTACAACCAAAATCTCAGAAGAATCCGTTTGGCGGTTTCCTTTATGTGCCCATCTTTCAATATTTTTAAAAATCCCGATTTTCGTTTTCGCAAATTATTCTAAAATCCTAAAAATTGTTTTAAAATGGCAAAAAGTAAAGGATAAACATTTATAATGAAAGAAATCGTTTGGTATTTGGTAGTTTGAGTCTCGTTCATTTAGATAATGAAATGAGGAGTGTAAGACTTACTATGAATGCTTTTGGATTTAAACCTTAGTTTTGGGCCGAGACCTAGCACATCCTGTTCAGTTTTTTGCGTTAATTCCGATCGTGTATGTCATTTGAGGAGGACGTTCCTAAAACTTTGTAATGTAAGGAAACATTTTGCTAGTTTACAAGTTTGAAAACCATTTAAATTGGTAACGGATGGGTTTAGAGTCCAATTATCCAAATTTTAACAAGAATCGGCTCAACTTTCCGACTCTTTCACAATCTTAACTTTAAAATGCAAGCTTCTTTCTTTCACTTTCAACTTTTTTAAACAAAAAGCTTTTTGGATGTAAATCTTTTCAGTCAGCAAAGATTTTGCAAGAAAATTTCCCAATAAATCGCAATAAACGTCATATTTTTCTTATCAGACCGATCGAAACTCTGAGTCAACCAACAAGTCGATTTTCTGCTATTTATTGGATAAAGTTCTTCAAATTTTAACTTCTTGTGTCCTTCAGATAACTTTCAGCAATTCTTTATCCTTGATTCTTTAAATCCTTTAACGATCTTAATTCTACAATTTCTCTAGTGATCGTGTGTGCTTCCACTTCAGATTGAAAATATACTTTGATATTTATATGGTCTATTTTTGAAAACCCGGTTCAGTTGCCCAACTTTTCGTGGATTAGCAGATCCGACTGCTTGTTTGTACTTTGTGCTCAAAAGTAGTGTAAACACACTTTTCTTGGCACAATCAGTTCTTTTTTCATTGCTATAATACTAATCGAAAATGATAAGGCGCTTTGCCGTTTTGCGCAGTAAGGAATAGCTTTGATAACTGTCCAAATTTCAGTTACAATGTTCTCTTCTCTCCCAAAAGATTTGAAGGCAATGGTTGTGGAATTTGTGGATACAAAAGAATTACTGAAATTCCCGCAAATCAACCACGATCTCCGACAATTCGTTCTCCAGAATGGCCCATTTTCGAAAACTTTGCGAGAACTTGTGATTTTTGCTGATGCCCCAGAGCTAAACAATGAGCTTTATACGGAAAATCTTCAAATTTGCATGAAAACCAAAGAAGCCGAGTACACATTCAGGTACGCTTGCAATAAAAAAAGACACAAATCTGTATTGATACTAACTTCTTTATTAGCTAAAATATAATGGGATAAGGTAGCTTTTTTAAAGTCCATCATTGAGAAAACGCTATAGCCTCAATTAGACTTGTAACGAAAACATCTGTCGGTTCTTTTTGCCGAAGGCAAGTTAAACTTTTTTCTTTTTCTCAGCAACCCTTTGCTTTTGTTTATTTTGCCTATCATTCAATGTAGAATATTGTGCGTCGAATGATACCAAAAACAACTCAAAATATAAATTCCATGCAAAGTTGTTGGCTAAAGACCTAAACCCCCAATTATGGGCGGGACTCAACCTTTTGACTCATAATTTTACGTGGATATTATATTTTGAGTTAATGCTGGTATTATTCGATCCGCAACTCTATTCTGCATCGAATGATAGTCAAATTAGACAAAATCGAAGGGTTGCTGCTGAGAAAAACACGAAAAACCTTCAAATGCCAACGCTGAAAAAGGACCGCCTTTGGTACAAGTCTAATCTCATTATTTTACCACAATATTTTCAGAGATTCCCGTTTCGATCGAGACATCGAACTTCTCATCTACTTCATCAAGAAAATTCGATTTTGTCAAGAAATCAGCATCATGAGCTTAAAGCGTGGATGGTTTTCTACATTCGCAGAAATATTTCGTTATTCCCGCGCTGCCCCAGATTCTCCTAGAAAACGAAAGAACCATGGATATCTCGAAATCCTCAATTTCTTGCCCCGAATCAAAAATGTCAAAAAGTGGACAATTTTCCAGACTGACCTTGAAAATCTCAGCTTTTTGCTGAAGAATATCGATTTCGGTTCTTACAAAAAGCTAACGATTGGCTCAATAAATCCTACCGGAAAGCAGATTTTGACTAAAAAATTGAAGAAATCGATAGATTGTAAAGGAGTCAAAGTGCTAAATAGCAATGAGGTTTTGGAATTGACAAGTTACCTAAAAAAACAAGGAGAAGACATTGATGGATTGGAAGAGAAAATAATACGAGAAATGATACACGAAGAAGAGTCACGTTTTTGGGCTTTCCATTATTTGAAGGAGGGAGAAGAGGGCAAAAAATTGGCTAAAAAGACTCGAGAAAAATTGACTCAAGAGAAGAAGACTTGGAAAAACGGAAAAGAGATGAGAATCGATCGATTACGTTTAAAAGCGAAAAGCATCAACGAACGAAAAGACAGAATTTTCACCGAAAGCAATAAAGAATTGCTGATTGTTTTCTCATTGAGCTTTTTCTTTATCCTTTAGGTTTCGTTTGAATAAATCGATTACAGAGTGGTCTAGAGCAACATGAAATTTGTTGAAATCAGCGAACTACAACTTAAAAATCATCTATTCGGAATTTATCAGCATTCAAATCTTCGCTTACACGCAAAAAATAAAGGAAAATGGAAATAAACATGTGTCTGTGTCTTGTAAGGAATGTTTAATTACGTCTACACTCTAATTTTCAAATCCAGGCGTTTTCTCTGTATGACACTTTGCCGGTTTTTAACAAAATTTCATACACGAGTTTTCTCGTGTATGATCTGCTTATCATTATGGGTTCCAGATGAATCTGTGGAAGATGTATAGGACTTTTATATGAAACTGCTATGGTACTTCGAACTCGCAACAAAGATAGGAAACAGTCGACTATTTAAAAATGCCTGCTATAGCATTTACATTGACCCTATATTTTTGTGACCTGTTGCAATTCGACATTTGTTTTTGTTGCAACCTTTTTTAAATAAATGTTTCTAGGAACGCACTGAGAAAAATGGTTTACAACCGTTTTATTTTGGTTAGAAGATTGAGTGAGGATTTTGAGTGGAGACAGGAGAGTTAATACACTCGCTTAACGCTTATGTGATTATCAAGCTCAGAGCTTTAGTTCTTGCTACAAACTTTATGAAGCCCTCTGTACAAAAGAATCCAAACATGAATCAAACAAATCCTAATGATGCATTTTTCCTCTTATTTGAATCCAACGATTGGCCTTAGCATTGAACATTCGAACACAAGATTGAACAGGATTGGCCTTGGAGAGGTCGAAGTGATCGAGATTGAGGTCGATCTGTTGACGTCCTTCTTTTGGAAGTGATTAAGATTAAGGTCGATCTGTTGACATCCTTCTTTTCGAAGTGGTCGAGATTGAGGTCGATCTCGTCCCTCCTTCTGAGTCCATAGAAAATTCGGCGCTCCTCGACGATGTGGACCCATATCCAACCATGGCCTTCTTCGCGGAATCAAGTTTCCTCATTTGGACATGATGCTTGAGTGGGATGGCCCTTGAGGTGAATTCGTCTAGGAGTTGCCTCAGCTTCTTGTCGCTTCGTCCATCGCTGCTGTTTCCGATCGATGTTTCCGCAAACTTTTTAAACAACATAATAGCTGCTTGTTCTGACCATGCAAATTCGCCACTTTATATGCAAAAAGTTTTCCACAAGCTCTTTCGTGTCTGGCTTTCTTATTTCTCTTCCTCGTTTTCCCCACAGAGTCCTTATCCCTTCAATTACAGCTCGTTGACTCTTTTTCTCTTTTTTGATCTCTTATCTAGGCAAACAAACAATTTTCCCGCTCTCTCGTATCAATTTTTCTGAAAAGGTTTTTCCAAATTGTCTTAGTCACTTTCAAACCCGATTCACAAAAAAAAACTGCCAATGTTTCCTTTGAATTCTCTACCGTTAATCTCAAAAGAATCAATCCTGTCAGCCATTTCTGCAGACGAATCTCTGAAACTTTTACTCGTAAACAAAGAGATTCGTGAGTATATTCTCAACAATGGACCGTTTACCGGAAAAATTAAGCTAATCAAGCTACTCGCTTTTAAATATTGGATCAGCGATGAGCAAATTCGCCTCACGGATTTTCACGTGACTGTGTGCGATCGGGGGCCTGATGAATTGAATGCACAAGGGGTTCATCGATGGGATCCCTCAGAAAACGAGATGCCACAAGTTAACTGTCGACAACTTTCAAGAACGAAACCAAAAGCAATGGAAATCACTCTCTGCTCAGCTCGGGAAATCCCAGGAGAAAACCCGAGTCTTTTTCAGTTTCTTCCAAATGTCAAAGCTGTACACGATTTAAGCGTAAACACCGACAAATTGTCGACTTTGACTTTGTTGCTTTCACACTTTTGCCCACAAGTTGAGAAAGAGCTGGGAATCACGGTGGAGAGCGGGGCATCTTTGGAGTCAAAAGAGATGCAGAGCACTGAGAAATTCCTTGAGAAATCTCTCCAAATCTGCAAACAGATCGAGTTTTTCAATCCACTTCCAAATTTCTATGATTTATTGACAAAAACAGGGCTGGAATTTATAACGATTTTCCCGAGAGATTGGGAAAATTTTCGGGAAGCTTTGGCGATTTGTGTGACAAGGGGGATTCCAAGCAGAAATCCTGTTGCCACCATGTTTCTTCGATGGGAAAATATTGGGGAAGTTATTGAGGAGAATAGGTACGAAGAATTGATGGGGAATTTACTGGATTTTGGCTTTGAAGTCACAGAATTTGATGCTCAAATTTGGATCAATAGAGATCGCTACAAATTGAGAAATGAGAAAGATTGGAGCAAAAAGTGGATAAAGGAAGCCTATGAGAGAATGGAGGGAAAGTTTTTCAAGAAGATCGTCGATCGACGAGCCATTCATTGTTTCGTGTTTTTCTCGGAGCAGTTGGGCATCATTTTGACGCTGAAATGTGGATAATTTAGACATTGCCGTATCTTCTCCGATAAAAAATATGGTATTTATTTTTGCGTTTAGAATTTTCTCATTCTGTTATTTATATGTTATATTGTTATTTATATGTCATATTGTTATTGTTATTTATTTATATTGTTATTTATATGTTATATTTTCTCATCCTTTTTCGTAAAGTTTCCGGTCGAACTAAATAAATTTTTATGAATTTCGTTTCTCTGAAAAACATGTAACTAATTTTAGAAAACGATTGTGTAAATATTCTTTTTGAATACGTAATGGCAAAGTCACAGTTAGACAAATCACAATGTATTAAGTTGGCAACAATGAAATGTCGGTTTTGGTTTTGGTGATAACTTATTTATTAAAAAAAACACGAAAGAAAAGGTTTAAAGCCAAAAGGTATTCGCCATTATTATTGATGACTTGTTCCCATCTTTAACGCAAATCACGGATACCGTTCACAAAAAAAACTGTGGAGTTTTGGATGTAAAGCTCACTTTATGATCTGGCTTATGATCTGAGCATGATCATCAAATTTTTCTCCCTCAAGAAATTGTTTCAACAATCAAAAGATCACATGTGGCAATTGAAAACCATTTGCATCAACTTGGGAAAAAGGTTTGCTATGGAAAATGGGTTCCACATGACCGCTGACCCAAAGTAAAAAAATGGCTCGTGTCATCATGTGCTCCATATTTCTTCAAAAGTGCAAATCACACGATTTCTTCGACAGAATCTTGACTTCTGATGAGACTTGGATCAGTTATGACAATGCCACTCGAAAAAATCAATGGCTCTTTGCTGGTGAAGGCCTGCAAACCACCCCCAAGCCCGATATCCATGGATCGACGATCATTTCTCTGTTTCTGGTGGGATTCGAAAGAAGCATTATGAAGTGCTAAAACCTAGACTGCCTCCGCCAATCTGCCAATTTAAGCAACGTTGGGCTCGCTTAATACCTGGATTGGAGAATTGGGATGGGAATCCCGAGCATCGTAAGCTTTTGCATTTCTGCCGATTCAGTGAATGATGGTCTGTCTTCTGGCTTCAATTTAATGAAACATTGAAACAAACAGAACAACAAACAAAATAAACAAACATAGTTGAATTGGAGATTGGAAAAAAATCTCGTTCTTTTGGTACCCATTGCAAACTAGGATATCTACCCATGATTAGAACTGGAATGAGCTTGTGAATTAGAAAAATCAGAATCAAAGCATAACAATGGGTACCAAAAGAACGAGATTTGTTCCAATCCCCAATCCAACTATGTTTGTTTATTTTAATGTTTCATTAAATTGAAGCCAGAAGACAGAAGACTTGTTGTCATCCATTTTTTTGCATTAAAAACCACTAGCGAAGTGAAAAGCAAAATGATTATAAATCTAGTGAGTTTATTTTTATTCAAAACATTACGTAAGCAAACACTTGGGAAATTGCCAGCACCGGGAAATTCGAAGCGCGCATTATTTTCTTTATACACTGATAAAATGGGTATAATTATGAAAACAATATAATTTATTCGTTTTTATTTCTATCAGCATCTATTTTTGATTGGAGTCGCCGATTTTCTTTCGCTTCTCTTCAAGTTTCGGAGGCGTTTTCATCTGGCGAAGAAAAGAAATATAGCAGAAGACGCCTGTAAATGATTGAATCATCTTGTCATCAAATTCGGAAAACGAACTGATCATGAGCATGCCACCGACAATATAGAGGATGTGATGAAGATTGAAATGCGCTGCAATGTACATGAGGACAACACCGGCAGCTGCCTGAATCAGAAAATAAACTAGCGGGCTAAACTTTGGGCTTTCAGATGCTATTCCGACTATTCGAGTTCTTGTACATATTTATGTTGTATAGAACTATCTCTTTGGTAGGCTTTAGATTCAAAATAACAATATTAAACAAATTCAAAAGAGAGTCAAATATGGGTAAAAAGTATCTTTCCACTATCTATCTGAATGTAATGTCGTCTTTTGGTAGAGTACCTGATAGAATTTGGCGACACTGAATGCAATAGCCGGCTCCCCAGGCAAAGCCTTGGCTGCTGCCACCATTCTCGCGTTGCACGCCGCTCCATCTAGTGCCCCGTTCAGCACACCCAACAACACGCAAATGAGTTGGCTGAAAATAAACTTATTGGCTTGATACATTTAAAAAGGCGTGCCTTGGCCGAAATATAGAGAAGTTCTTTGTCGGATAAAGAGACGCTTCGGCTGGGGTGAATAGGACGATCAGCACAACGATGAGTGCGTAGAGGACACAGGTGATCGTCATGGCTGGCGCTAGCCCAAAGTCGCGGATCCGTTTGCTTAACGTGGTGATCGCGAATCCAACTGAATAGGAAATGTACGCTAATAGTGAGGATTTTCAGGTTAACCAAGGTTAAAGTTAGCTCGGTTCAGCTAGCTTCGGTTCTCCTTGAAATCTACTGTTTGAGAACACAGCTTATTAGGCTGTAAACTAAGTCTTGTCCCTAAATTCAAAACAGTATTCATTGAAAACCAAAAGAGCAGTTTATCCTCCATTATTTGCGAAGATTTTCGCCCATTTTACTGGCAAATGGCGGATTCCCCTCCCTTAGAAACTTTTGGTTCCGAATCAAAACTCCAATCAAATAGACTCCAATCAATAGTCTTGGAGCCACTTTTTGAGGTATTCCTCATTTGGGAACTGCTTTCCATCCAGGGCGTATTGCATTGATCGGAAAAGATGGTAATCTGTAGAACTGAGGTCAAGAGAATATGGTGGATGGGGTAAGAGTTCCCAGTTCAACTCGTGGATTATGGAGTGGGTCAACTTGGCTGTATGAACTGGCGTTGTCGTAGAGATTTGCTAGATTTGGAGTAGTATTTGAATGAAGAATTAATAAAAAATACAAAAGAGCATTTGGCTTTCTGGATTGTGTTTTTGAATAAAGAACTGATAAGCCAATATTTTGAAGAAAAACGGGCGCACCCTCACTAAACGTAAACAAAATTTCGAAACTTTGCTGAGGGGGTCAAGGCTTAGTTTACAACCTAATAGCTTATTCTTTAGCTAATCAGTGATCTGAGAAAATTCAAATATCTAACAATAAAGAAACGACCAAGCAGATCTGTTTATCTCTATTCAATTTTTCTTGATAGACCGTTTAAAAATTTCACTCGTTGTCAATCACCTGTCTGTCAAAAAAAATCAAATTTTCTCACCAATGAACTCGCCAACACAGGAGGCGATGCAATAGTAGGCGACCAGATCCTTTTGCTGGGCCAACGATTCCGTGAAGGCAAAAGTTGTTGGGTAGAGTGTCAAGAAAATTGACAGAAAACAGCCGGTGCAGATGAAGAGAGGTGAGAGCTTCAGCAGTGATGTCTCGCCCATCGCCCAGAAGACTTTGGCTAAAATAATGATACAGCAAAAATCAGAAAAATGAGATTATTCAATTTAATTCTATGCTGAGATATTAGCAATTTAAGAAAGAGTTTACAAGACTTAGTTTACAACCGAATAGTTAGCTACCGAACAACTCTTGGGAACAACTCTAACTTACCGATTTGCGTCTTGAGCGAGACCTCGTTTTTGATTCGTTTCTGTAGAGAGTCGGTTATATCTCGTTTTGGTATCAGAAAAGCAAGCACAATGGAGATCGTCGCAAAGACAGACATCCCGATCGCTAGCAACCAAATCTCCGTGTCCGAGAAATCGCGGTACTCGACACCGTTCTGAAAGTTGAGCTTTGATTTTCACAATCTTTGATCAGGTTTACTCAACCAGATTTCCCATAACTCAATTCATAAGGTTCATTCATACATTGTTCAACGAATCGATTTCCGTCGTGAGCTTCAGGCCTGAGATTTCCGTCTTATTCACTCCCACTCTTTCATTGCCCAGTATTTGTGACGAGAAAATCAAAAACGTTCCGCTCATCAGGGTCCTAGTGATTGTTTATTTTAAATGCGATTATGTCGAGCTCTTACGTGATCGAGCTGATCATCACTTGGATTGATTGATTTCGTGATAGGGTTCCGTGGAATGCCTCAATGCATATGAACCACCACCGGCAAAGAACACTGGAAGCTCTTTTGAATTAAAAAAAATAAGCCTGGTTTGGGCTTTGTAGGATTCATCTTACTATTAGAAAATTGAGGTTTTCTGAAAGAAATCTTTTTGGATACCTATTATAAATGATTGCCTTATCCACTGCAAAAAAAAACTTCCTTATCTCCAAATTGGTTTCCTTATTTCTCTAAATTTGGCTCCTTATCTCTCTGAATTTGGTTCCTTATCTCTCTAAATTTGGTTCCTTATTTCTCTAAATTTGGTTCCTTATTTCTCTAAATTTGGCTCCTTATCTCTACAAATTGGTTCCTTATCTCCCTAAATTTGGTTCCTTATCTCTCTAAATAGTTGCTTTGTCTTTGTTAAAAAGGAATTAACGCTGTTTTCATTAAACGAAACCAAGACCAAACCCAAGTTCACTTACATGCAAATCCCAGTCCACAAGACATGCAAGCCGGGAAGAAGAAATAGTTCCTCAAATAGAAGAAATTTACGGCAAAGAGGAGAAAGCAAGCCGTCGCTGATATGAGTGTTCCCCGTGCCCCGAGAAATGGCAGCAAACACGGAGCGATCAGGTTGCCTACCGTGTACGCAAAGTTCATCGATGCGGTTCTGATGTAGGTTTGTTTTTTATACTTTTCTTTCTTCAAGGCTACCCGTAATAGCCAGCAAATTCGATGATACAATCCGGGCACCGTTGTCTGACCGAGTGGCAAATTGGCTCCACCAGAAAGGACATCATATCGAAACCGAAGAAGCCACACATTTGTATTAGACCTGAAAGGGTTTGCTTTTGAGCTAAAGGCTTTGTTGGCTTTGTTTTCAGAGTTATTGAACTCGAAGTTAAATAGGATAAATTAGTACAATAGCTAATAAAGTAAATGAGAGAAATGAGCGAAAATAATTATCTTGATATTTTCAAGCAGAAAGTGCTGCCTCTCTTCATACTAATTGTAAGTTCTTAAGAATATTTGGAGAATAAATGCTGTAACTTTAAATGAATAAATGCTGTAAGCTGTAACTTTTTTACGCTTTCTACTTTTAACCTTTTCGCACCAGCGCGGAAATTGATCACAATTTTTTCAACTCACCTAACAAGACCGATATCAAGATCATGAAATGATCGTCATTCATCTTTGAAATCATCAGTAGCTTTTTTTGTTGATGTTGATATTGATGTTGATTTGTTGATAAGACGTGATATCGCAACAATCAGTGAATAGGCAGACCAAAGAGGTGCTCGACCAGTCTTCCACTGAGTGAAACTTTGAACATTCCGCTTTTATAAGCAAAGATTTACATATTTTAAGGCATGTTTTTAGAGTATTTGAACCGAAGAGAACTGTTCGAAAATCGGTCCCTTTAGTTTTTAAATCAACAAAAAACAAAGATGATCATCGAACGATTGTTGTGTTTTATTTGAGCTTTTCGAGAGCATTTTTCCTCTTTAAAATTCTAGATAAAAACATCGATATTTCTCGTACTTTTTGATGCACATAAGATAAGATAAAAGAAAAATTGAAACTACCAAACAAAGGACTAATTTGCATAGAACAAATAAAGCAGAGAGAATAAAATTCTACAAAACCTCGAAGCTTTATTTCTCTGAACTTTGATGTCTGCTAAAAAATGAAGTCGAACAGGTCATAGACACGGATGAGCATCGTGCTTCGATGAGTTCGATCCACAGTTGTTTTTGGTCTACTTTCATATTTTGATGGATGTCGAGAGTATTCTTTAAGCTAGTGTCCGTACAAACATATTACAGGGTGCCCCAAAATTACCCGAACCTCCGTTTATCGCGCTTTGCTGTTATGCGGTCGGCTATGAGGCCTAGTTGTCGGCTATGAGGCCTAGTTGTCGGCTATGAGGCCTAGTTGTCGGCTATGAGGCCTAGTTGTCGGCTATGAGGCCTAGTTGTCGGCTATGAGAGGAATGACGCGAATAGGGTTTACTAGAACGATAGACAAAGACACTAGAACGTATTACGGTCCAACGTAACATTATGTTTGTTACTTTTTGTTGTGGCTTGATTGTCAGTTTAATTGCCAAAACCTACGAGAGCAGCTTGTGTAACTTTTGTCAATTCTAGATTGTATTGAACGTCATTCTACAATCAATCTGGATGGAAAATGCATTGTGAATGAATTGCATTGTGTGCGAGTGTAGCACTGAGTAATGAAAAGAGTTTATTCTGCAGTTTTTCATTTGTATTTAGAATCAGTCATCAAATTTTGCCACCAATCAATCAAGAGACAGACTTTCTGAAAATTTCAAGTTAATTATTCGAATTTCTGAAATAATGTGCAAAATAATAACCTGAATTCCAAGTTTCAAACACTTTTCAACCGGTTCAAGTTTTGGTTTGATTGTCAACATGATTGAGGAGAAATCGAGTTGGAACCTGTAATGGTACATAGCTGAATGGTAATGTAATGGTACATATTAGGTTGATGCAAAAGTCTTTTTCATTTTTTTCGTACTTCTGTTAAAAAGTAACAAATTCACCAATTAACCTATGCTTTTCTCTAAATAAAAAGTGTTTTTTTGTTCAATTTGCATCTTTTTAAATGAATTTCGGTTCACTTTCAAGCAAATTCGAGAGTGAAAAACGCCTTTTTCGTAAAAATCTATAAAAAACTCTACGGAAAAATTGGCTGAATGAATTTCTCTGAAATTTTGGCGAAATATCAAACGTTTTTTTTCTCTATCTTTTATCTATTGACACGAAGATAGGTTTTCTTTAGCTAAGGTGTCTAAACCGCATCATCGAGTTAGCCCTTTTTGACTACCCGACTTCATACTCTCAAGAAAATCCAGGCATCAAATATTTTTAAACCCGTTTTAATGTTATTTTGCAGAAAAATAATTGGTTTTTCTAATGAAATCAACCGTAGTTTAATTGGTGCATTTGTTGGCTTGAAACGGCAGACGAAAAGGAACGAAAAGACTTATGCATCAACCTAATAGTTGAAAGGTAATGTAATGGTAGATAGCTGAAAGGTAATGTGATGGTGCATAGCTGAATGGTAATGTAATGGTACATAGTTGAAAGGTAATGTAATGGTACATAGCTGAACAACTTTAGTGTTAGAAGTACAATCGACTCTCTCTTTCTCTATAACGGAACTCTATATAGCGGAAAACTCTTTATAACGGAATGGAATTTTGGTCCCTGCCGACACTAAGCTATATAACAGCACTCTATATAACGGAAAAACCTTTTGGTCTCTTCCATTCCGTTATAGAGTCGACTGTGGTTATTGAAATTTAAGATGCCTAATTGTTACCTCGCCGAAAGGACCACATCTTTGTCTTTTTCGACAAGCTGCACCGATTTGGTTAACGGATCATAAATGATCGCAAATGAACGGGGCATCGAAGCAGCATACTCACTAAATCATTACACAAATTCATCCAAAAGACCAAATTTACCGTAACTTGACGAGCGCGTCTTGCAGAGATTGAGCAACAAAATATAATGGTTGGTAGCCGCTATCCTCGTATGTTTGCACGGATACAATCTGCGGATCAAACTCCTTGTGGTCGGGTACATCGGAGCAGGCGTGCTGGAAATTGGGAAGAAAAATGTTATTAATATCGTCAATACCAAGCTTGAGGATCTTAAATGAATGAATCTTTTTGTAACGTACCATCAATTCTCCGTAGGCTGACAGGAGACCGGCGCCGATAGCTTTCAATTGCCCGTCTTCACGGCACAAACCAAACTCGATAATGAACCAATAAACCTGAGAAATATTTTTGTTTTTTAAGCCTTTCTCTACACCAAACAGTGGCCAGTTTTTCTATTTGATCGTTCGTTGCTCCCAAAGACATCAATCCAATATCTTGACTCATTTGAGCGATGAACGGATCCGCGAACATTGGTACATGACCGAGGAGTTCTAGGATGTTAAGGGTGAATTTTTAGAAGCTGTAATCCACTACCATGAATCAAATCGGGTTCAGGCGAGTGGTGAGGCGATTCATGGTGTCGCAGATAGGTGGTTGTCTAAAACATTAAAGAAGTTTTTCCTTTAACTCCTCCAAGTTCCCCTTTCCCATTAGATTCCCTTTAAGTTCTTTTCTAGAGTTCTTTTCTAGTCTTTTCTATGTGCAAAGGTAATCGCGCAAAGGACAGTCCCAGATATGCGCCTTTTTATGACTTTGTTCAACGGTGGAAAACTGTAAGTCTAGACAGTAGCCCTCAATACAACAATACATTGATGCCGCCTTTATTCCAATTGACATGCCCGTTGGCATTTGCTTCAAAGTGGATAATCGAATGTGCGGAACCATGAATTGCAGCTCATACGCTTTTATGTGTTGTGCTAGATCTAGTATTGGACTATGTTTTACTCATTTCATCGATTTTTTTCATGTTTGTTATGATATTTATATTATCCTCTATGCGGCTGCTTTGCTAAAAGCATAAAGGTAGCATGCAATTAAAAGTATTGCTCGGCAGCAGAAAAATGCAGTAATTTGCGTGTAAAAGGGTAATGTATCTAGCTAGAGGTACTGATGGCACGTAGCACAAATCTGATTTCAGATTCCGATTCCTCACCCCCGAAAAACTCCGAGTATAAATTTTCAGCTTTCTAGCTCACTTCGTTGTAATTTACGTTAACGTAATTTGTATTATCGCGTCGGTGTGACGGACGGACAGACAGACAGACGTTTTATTTTTTGTTTATAGTAGATTCTTGTTGAATACTTAAATAGAAAGATTTGAAGAAAATTTTTGAATATTTAGCAAATATAAAGAGAAGGGAGATTAGGGAACACTAAAAACTGTTTAAAAAAAGAAAAACTTAAAGAGAGTCGAACCCTTGACCTACAGCTTTGCATTCCGACACGTTACCCGCTAAACTACGTTGCTATTTCTTTGTCGCGTGCGCGTAAACGTTACAGGAAAAACTTATATGCCAAATTCCTTGCAATTCCGACCTATTTAGCAAAAACAGACCGCAGATTCGGGATCAGCGTAAAATTCTGCATCTGATTGCCTAACGTATTAGGTTGATGCAAAAGTCTTTTCGTTCCTTTTCGTCTGCCGTTTCAAGCCAACAAATGCACCAATTAAACTACGGTTGATTTCATTAGAAAAACCAATTATTTTTCTGCAAAATAACATTAAAACGGGTTTAAAAATATTTGATGCCTGGATTTTCTTGAGATTATGAAGTCGGGTAGTCAAAAAGGGCTAACTCGATGATGCGGTTTAGACACCTTAGCTAAAGATGCGGTTTAGACACCTTAGCTAAAGAAAACCTATCTTCGTGTCAATAGATAAAAGATAGAGAAAAAAAAACGTTTGATATTTCGCCAAAATTTCAGAGAAATTCATTCAGCCAATTTTTCCGTAGAGTTTTTTATAGATTTTTACGAAAAAGGCGTTTTTCACTCTCGAATTTGCTTGAAAGTGAACCGAAATTCATTTAAAAAGATGCAAATTGAACAAAAAAACACTTTTTTTATAGAGCAAACTATAGATTAATTGGTGAATTTGTTACTTTTTAACAGAAGTACGAAAAAAATGAAAAAGACTTTTGCATCAACCTAATAAATACTGTAATAGTACCGCACCCCCTTAATGACGGTGCGGAGTGTTGCGTAGTCTAGCTTTGAACGAGTGTTTCTCGACACTGGTTTATGCTACAATGCGCGCTTAGGTATCAAAAAATAGCTGAAATTCAGGGCTATTTTTTGATACCAAAGACGCATTTTTTGAAAGTATGGGTGCTTTGAAAAAATGAAATACTAAAAAACTTTTACGCGTAAAAAACTACGCGACTGTACGAAGGGAGTGGGGTACTATTACAGTATTTACGGTAGTTATTTTGCTTATTTTGCTCATTTCGATTGACCACGTTGATTTCGTGACCTTCGCTTGTGAGTTAGAAACACTAATACATACAAAAGAGCTTGTGATTGGATTGGTACAATTTAAAAGTTGAAGTAATTCGAATTAGTTTGATTTGAGACTCAATTCGATCCCAGGGAGGCGAGGAATAAAATTGATTTCAAATAATTGCATTTAATTGAAGAAAAACCGCTCTAACTCCTTACCTGGAACACTCGAAAAGCAAGGCTGGCCAAGAAATCACGGGCCGACAGCAGTCCACTACATGGTCTCAAAATGAACCCGGTCTTTTCTAGAGGTGTATATTTTAAAAATGGGAACCATCACAAACCCATCAAGTATTTATTCACATCGGCCACTTGTGGGATCCGATTTGCTGTGAGGACTCCGGCCTCTTCAAGCATTCTCAGATTTTGCCTGTATGCGAGACATGTATGGCTTTCGTGGAGTGTTTTCAGTTTTTCGAAGACCATCGTCCAAGTTGCGTGCTCCTCTTCTGAAAGGAGAGTAGAAGAACACTTGAGGAACACTTGAGGAACACTTGAGGAACACTTGAGTCTCAACCAAGTATAACAGTGAAATGTTATAAGGATAAATTGTCCAACATTTCGCTTTCTATCCTTGACTACTTCCTTCTATTAAAGCAAAACGCACCAGTATACTCGACGAATGAAATCGGATCACCGTGGCGATAATTGATCGCCTGATCGTTGAGGAATTGGCGACGCATGATGTATGCCGTGTCACCGTGACCCTAAACCAAGCTTCGTAATGATGAACAGTAAAAATGATCCGTGGGAACAGTTTTTTGATTCTTTTTAGTGATTTTTATTGCTTTTATCAACCTTGATGTTGTATCTGAGGAATAAATAAATGAAATAAAGCTGACCGGATGTCGTGGATCATTGGTCGGCTCGTATTTCGTGACACATTTCGAGCATCGATCCAACTCGGAAACGCGACGGGGAAACCATGGAACTATATTCAGATTTTCAGAGATTTTCAGAGGTTAGAATTGATACTAGACTAAAAACCATAAAGAACTAGCAAAATTCCTAGAGCAAGCTACAGGGTTCGTCATAATTTCCCAGACAAAGTTATTCCACTTCGAATCAGTCATTTTGTTCAATTTTTTTCTTCACTTTTCGATGTCAATATATTCTTTTAAATGTTTTAATTCAAATATAATGTTCGGAGGAATACATTGGATTTTTATGCAAGATAAGAATTGCATAAAAGATAAAAGGTGAGCCCGAACACACAGCCAAAAGTAGACAGGACTGGTGCAAAGTCAACTTCCCGAGCTTGATCGCAACAAATGAATGGCTGTCCAACTCCGCAGATCTCAATGTGATGGACTTCTTCACTCGGGCAATTTTAGAAGACAAGGCCTGCTCTCAAATTCAGACCAAAGTTTAAAGAAAGCCTTGATCCGAGCATGGAACGAAACCCCATAAAGCCACAACAGAGCCTGAGCTGTTATCAAAGCTAAATCAAAGCCACAACAGACGCTGAGCTGTTATCAAAGCTAAATCAAAGCCACATTCGGCTGGCTGTTTCAAGCTAATCAAGCCCTTCGGCCTGGCTGTTATAAGCTAACAAAGCCAGCGACGCTGGGTCAAAGCTAATCAGCCCGCCTGAGCTATTATCAAAGCTAAATCAAAGCCACAACAGAGCCTGAGCTGTTATCAAGGCTAAATGCGGAAAGAATTCAGTAGTTTCTTTTAAAAGTTGTTCTTTATATTTAAATCAAAATGCATTTTTGCATAAAAACCCTTCGTGATTTATAATACCTAATTTTATTTGTTAGGGTAATTATTACGCACCCTGTAGATTGCAAAGATCTTGCTCATACCTAAGTAAACTGTTTTTGAACTCTTCAAAAATTGCCAGTGACTTTCAAAACAAACAACATAATTTAACATTGTTATTAACCTACTTTCTTCGCCCCTATCCATTGAAGTCATTCTTCTCTGTATAGTTAGTAGAAATATAAAATTGCAGCAATTAGCAAATAGACAAACCCAAGAGTCTAGTAATGCAACAGTGACACTTTGAGTGTTCCCTTTTGTAGGCAAAGATTTACATATATTGTCACTGTCCTGTTTTCTTTGTTCTTTGAAACGAAGAAGAGCTGTTGGCTCTCTTTTCGTTTCAAAACAACAACAACAGGAAGTGACCAATAACCGAGAATCAAAAAACAAAATAGTCAAACTTTGGCGAATCAAACAATTTGAGCGAGAGTAAAGGTGACTCTAAGGAGGTTTGATTTGATCTAGATCTAGATTGATCTAGAAATTCTTTAAATTCAAAAGTTCTATAAACATTAATCAAAAAAAAGTTAAACATTAACTCTTGACTTAAAGCTTGACTGAAGCTGACTGACTGACTGACTGAAGCTGACTGACTGAAGCTGACTGACTGAAGCTGACTGACTGAAGCTGACTGACTGAAGCTGACTGACTGAAGCTGACTGACTGAAGCTGACTGACTGAAGCTGACTGACTGAAGCTGACTGACTGAAGCTGACTGACTGACTGACTGAAGCTGAAGCTGACTGACTGACTGAAGCTGACTGAAGCTGATTGACTGAAGTTGACTGACTGACTGACTGAAGCTGACTGACTGACTGACTGAAGCTTAACAAAAACTAGTTTTTGAGGAAATCAGGTGAGTTCACAAGAGAAATGAGTTGTTTTCAAATGAGTTTTCAAAATAACAAAAGTTGTTTCTTTGGCCCAAAAGCCTCGGTTCAAAATCCCTCTGATGTTTGCCTCATTTTCGGTCTACTCTTTTGTGTTAGATTTGTTGGTGTTTGAAAACATTGACAAGAGTTACGAGTCTGTGTTATATTTATCAAGGAGAGTAGATGCAATAAGGATATTTTAAATACAAAGGTCTCCTTTCAATTTCTTGATTTTCCTCCACTTTCCGTTGCTTCATCGATGTCTGTGGCTGTTTTTTCAGGAGCAAAAATGTAGCGACGCCACTAAAATGCTTTTTGTTCTTTAAACGCTTTTTTACTTTTTAGTTTTATTTCTATTTCTTATTTCTATTTTTAGTTTCTAGTGTAGTAGAGTAATGGGTGAAAACTTCAGAATGTAACAAAAAATGTATCCAATAAAAATGTGCACCTAAAAGCCTAGTCGATTTGTCAAAAAACAACCGACCGTATTTTCTCTAATAGTAGTGCACCCCGGCGAGCCGAGTTGATGACCATTTTACGGTTTCCAAGCTTTTGCAGAAGCTCAACACTCAAATCCCCCACAAGATCTCATCGTCAGTTACATTTTCCGACCCCACATCGATAGGTTCTGATAAGCGGTTCTCGAGATTTCGAGCAATTTAGGCGACGCGGTGCACTACTATTAGAAAAAATACGGTAACCATATTTTTAGAATTCAATAGAACAAAACCGATCCAGCCCCATTCAATCAAACAATTTTTGCTGATAGACAAGCAACAGTTTGGAGTATTTTTTTAAAAAAAGATGTTAAAAACCTTTTCCGTGCTCCCCGGGGCTTCTACAAAAACGAAGGGTTTTTTGTTAGAATGGAAAGGGAAACCAATTTCCACAGCACTCATCGGACCGATCGCGAAAATTTTCCGATTTCTTCTAGGCATTCGTTTCTTGTTTCAGTTTTTATGTTTTTCTTAGATTTACTGCTAATTTCAGCGAGTTTTTCTATTGGGTTGGTCAATTGAAAACTGCCGGCTATTGTCATATGGCACAGTTTGAGCACTTTCTTCAAAAGAAAACCATTTTGGTGTCAATGGAAAAGTTGTAGAGAATCAAAAATCAAGCTTATATCCAAATTTTCAGAACGATTCAAAAACTGGTTTTCAAGAAATGCCAAATTTACACAAAAGAAATGCCAAATTTTCACAAAACTTGCATTTTAAACGAAACTATTAAGTGTATCGTTTTGGAAATTTGGCTATAAGCCTAATTTTTGATTCTCTACAACTTTTCTATTGACACCAAAATGGGTTTCTTTTGAAGAAAGTGCTCAAACTGGGCTCTCCAGTCCTCCATTTTTGAGTCTCACACTTGTCTCAGACATAAACCAAAATCCTACTAAGAAGGGAATCCGCAAATTGCCTGTAAAGTGGGCGAGTGTCAATAGTATGGTTATTTGGATGATTTTGGTTTTATGTTCAATAAATTTTAGTTCAAAGTCCGGCAGTTTTCAATTTCAATTCACCATCCCAATAATTTAGAGTAAAAATATTTCTCAAAATAAAAAAGTATTAATATATCAATGGTTCGGAAGCACAATACTCGTTGTTGAATGATGGAAAATCCGCTAAAATTGACTTATTTTGATTATACAGGCGCCAAAGGGGGAATCGTGCAAGCGCTACCGTACAAACGAAACGGACTGTGGTCCATGTTGGTGATCTTTCAGAAAAAGAAATATAGGGGCTGAATTTTGAGCTTCTTGACAACCATTTCCAAAAGAATCCTTTTGGGTGCATCAAAAAAACAAAAGATCTACGGCAGAAAGCAAAAAAACGCCAGACATCTTTCTTTGCAAAGCACTTATTTCCCTTCGCAATTAGTGTGGTTAAAAATTTATGGCGGAAGGAAGAATGTAGGAAGGTGAAAAAGCCAACTATTTAAAGGGGGGAGTGGTAAAATTTAGGGCCCGTTCTCGATATAATTTTTTTCGGCAAAAATTCTCTAATGCATTCTTATTTAATGTATTGTGAACCAGAATATCAATGAATGGGCACAATCGATTCCATGCAGTTTCCCGGGCCGCAGTGTTGCTTCTCGGAACCGGAAGTTGGCGAAAATTCGGGAAAAACTTTCTTTTTGGTGATACAAACAGAATGAAAGCTTTTAACAGCTGAAGTGACATTATTTATACGCTCCAAATTGTTCATGAAACTGTTTTTAGTTACAATAGATAACAGATTTTGAAAAGGCGCTGAAGTGGGAGAATTGTCTCAAGCCTACTGTTACATCTTTGATTCGGACAATTTGAAAAGCTTCTTGTCGAAATCTCATCGCCCAAAAAGGAAGTTTTACCCAAAGCAGGGCTTTATTTATCGGACGATGTTGGCTGTTCTCTCTTTCAACGAAAACAGCCGAGCTGAGCTACGAGGTGAAAGGGCCATCACTAGAATTTATCGTTGCTTCTCCAAATCGAAAGATGAATGTACGCTGAAGCAGAGAAAGGGGCCAGGATTGGAAAACAAAGATAATTGAAGAAGCTCTAGTATGAAAGGAAAAATTTGGACTGCGAAATCCACAATCAAATGTTCAGAGCAAGAGGTTGAAGACCTAAATGAAATGACAAGCGAAAATTTGAATTTGAGTGATGTTGAAAGTGATGAAAAGATTTGAATGTCATTTCTCTATTCTCCTTACTTATTTTATGTGCTTTCGAAAGTTTTTATTAGATAAATTTGTTCAGATAACCAGGTTCTGGTTCCGAGGAGCAACACTGCGGCCCGGGAAACTGCATGGAATCGTGTTCATTCACTTTTGGATATTTTAATTCACAATACTTTAAAGAAAAACGATTTAGAGAGTTTTGGCCGAGAAAAATGGATCGAGCACGGTGCCTAAACCTTACTCCATTGGGTTGTTTAGTGAGAGATCATTTCAAGATGCTTTGAAAGATTCTTCGGGTTTTACAAAGTGTTTTGCTTGTAACCTAAAAAGTTTAATCTTTTCAGTCTTCTAGCTAATTTTCCCCTTAAAGTTTAGCTATTGCAATCACTTTTTAAATGGCCAATAAATGCATTAAAACAATTTGTTTCTTTAGAGTAAACTGTAAAAAAAGCCAGAACTTCTATAAAAGTCATTATCTATTGCTTGCTTCTTTCTACAGTCATTATCTATTGCTTGCTTTTTCAAAGTTCAATTATGCATTCATTTTAAAGTTGTAATTATTTTATTCGTTCAGCACAAGCTTTAAACATGGGAATAACTTGGAGAGAAGCGATAGCGAACATCGCTTTCTCGCTGCTTTTTGCTATTCTTCCCCTCGTTCAACCACAAGTGAGTTGCATTTTTTATATAAAAATGAAAACAGGGAAATAAATACGGAAAACAGAAGTAGTTGAAAATGAACTTCTGACTAATTTTAGTTGGCTCTGAACACAGTATACCCGCCAGTTGGTTGCCCTCATTGGGGTATCTGTGCCAACAACACCTACGATCCCAGCTACACCACCTACTATCAATGTTTCCCGAACTTTTGTGTGGTAAAACATTTTCACTTTTGTCTCCCTCCCTTCTATTTTTCAATCTCTTTCAGTGCAACGACGGGACGACAGATGATCTGACACTAACGGAGACTTATTATTATGATGAATTAACCACTCAGCCGCCCTCGTTTCAACGATGTGCTACAGGTAATTTGTATGATAACTTTTTAAAATGAAAGCATAAATTTGGGTGCAACCAAATTTAAACATAGCAAAGTTTTGCTTGAAAACCTGTGTTGAGTTCTGTTCTTTGTGGCAACTAGCGGCTTTCAGTGACAGCCACCCCGTGTGCTTCACATCCTTGCCCTGCTAATTCCGATTGTTCGGGAAAACTCACCAACTATATGTGCACTTGTTGGGCGAATTTCACTGGAGCCGATTGCAATGAGAGTGAGTTGTGTTGAGAGTCTCTTCAGCATTCAAAGTTAAGCCATCGCCGTGAATGCTTGCTCAAGTTCCCCGTGTCAGGTTGGTTATTTTTCAGATCTTCTCAAATTCAAACTCAAACTTTGTAACTTTTAACGGCTTTGCAGAATGGTGCTTCTTGTGTGGACAACCCGGACGGAACTTTCAATTGCACATGCGCATCGGGTTATACGGGAGAATTGTGTGAATGTGAGGTTTTAATTGTAAGTCGTGGTAACACGAAAAAAGCCAACTACTGGAGGAGCTTAAAAAGCTCTGCTCCGATATAAAGTGATGGTTTTTGAGCGTAGATCGAACAAGATATATTGTCCAGTTATAAATGCGCGTTTTTGAGGGCTTATTCCAAATATTTCGGCAAGTTCACGTGTAGTTTGTCGAGGATCAATTTCGATCGCCTGTTTAAGTACTGCATTATCGATCGTAGGAGGCCGGTGGTCCTCATCTCCCAAAAATTCATTTCCTTCTCAAAATCGTTGAAACCATCGCCGACACTCACTTTCCGAAAGAGCATCTTCCAAAATACTTTCCAAAGGCCTCGATGAGATTCAGCGATATTTTTGCCCAATTTGAAGTCATACCAAAGACTGACACGGAGACAAAACTTCGTGTCGTTTACAGAAATTAAATCTAAACACAGAAATTAAATCAAAAATTGGTTTGACGTCAAAAACACGAAAAGTTGTAATAAAATAAGAAATCCTGAACAGCATATAGAAAATTGGGTTTGATAAAATTGTAAAGCTCTGGAATGCTCTGGAATGCTCTGGAATGCTGTTCAAGTTGTTCAAGAGCAGGCGTGCATTCATAACTGGACAACCGAATAGAATGTATTTATGAGAAAGCGTTTCAGATACAAATCTCTGCAGTTCGAATCCGTGTCAAAACAGTGCCCCATGTGTGCAGCTGTTCTCGGGAGAAAAATAGTTTGCGCAAGGAAAGTTGTCCCATTATTACTCATTTTAGTTATTGCAATTGCTCGAACTTGTGGCAAGGCACGAATTGTGATATTTCCGTCTTACAAGGTCATTTTTTGTTTACAGCAACTGAGGCTCATCTAACCAAGAACTTTACACAGTTAAAATTTTATAGAACGGTGTTAGAGGTGACAGAGCTTTATAGTTTTGGCTATATTGTATAGTTTTGTCTATATGGCCAAATTTCTGAACGGGATTTCGGGTCTAAGTTTTCTGAACGGGATCTCGGGTCTAAGTCGCATTTTGAAACACGAGTGATACCTTGTTATCGATCCAGAGTCAAGCCAAATTCTTGGCTTCCCCAAAATCAAGCCTCTTATGTAGGTTAACAAAAACCAATAAACTTCAAGAACTTCATTCATTCATTCAGCATCAAGAAGCTTTATTCATAGCATTGTTTAGTCAGTGACGTCTAGAAGGTCATTTTTTGTTTACAGCAATTGAGGCTCATCTAACCAAGAACTTTAAACAGCTAAAATTTTATAGAATGGTGTTAGAGGTGGCCGTGAACCGTGAGGTGAACGGTGTTTTATAGAACAGTGTTAGAGTTTTGGCTATTGTATAGTTTTGTCTATATGGCCAAATTTTGAACTTCTGAACGGGATTTTGGGTCTAAGTCGCATTTTGAAACACGAGTGATACCTTGTTATCGATCCCAAGTCAAGCCAAATTCTTGGCTTCCCTAAAATCAAACCTCTTATGTAGGTTATGTACAAAAACAATAAACTTCAAGAACTTTATTCATTCATTCAGCTTCAAGAAGCTTTATTCATAGCATTTTTTAGTTAGCGACGTCTACGCCGGGTGCTACGCATACAGCGACATCAACAGCAAAGCCGACTGTAATACAACAATCTCGGCACAACCAACAGTCGACTCGTTAGTCAACCAAAAAAAACAGCTTATTGATAGGGGGAAATTTGCTTTAGTGATGACACAATAGGTTTTTGGCCAATAGGTTTTTGGCCAATAGGTTTTTGCTTACAATTATTAAAAACTACCAAATATAGCTTTAGTTTTCAGCATATATATTCTTTCTTTTAAGGTGCCGCACGATCTTCCAGAATTCGCTTCTCAACATCGATTCGAGCGACACGTACTATTGTGAGTTGAGTCTAATTGCCGTTAGAGATGTTTTCAAAAACTGTTTTCACTTTTCTTATGTATTTTAGTTAAAATTTCTACCTGTTAACCCAAAACTTCCGTGGTAGACAAAGTTTTTTTTCACAATTTTTCACCTATCTTATTCTAATAGAAGCAAATGTACTTCTATTTTTCAATCTCCTCACCAAAACTGCTTTTATTAGAGACTGTGCTTCTATTAGAATAAATACGGTAATGACAAACCATTTAAAAAACAAATTTTTGTTTCCTTTTGACAGGTTCTTTGTAGATGTTTTCTAAAAAACGTTTTAATAGTAAGAAAAATCTGTAGTAATTGCGCCTCTATCAAAAATTCTTGTAGGTGTGATGGGGAACGAGTGTGGTGTTTGTGAGCAGAATCCGTTTGCCGGCAAAACACTGTACAACGATAGCGCGTGCAATCAACCCTGCGGCACCGAGGCCAATTACAATACGACAAAGGGAAGCGGCAAATCGAAGACGACGACCACAAGTTGGGGACTCTACAGTTACAAGGGGTGAGTAGCAATGGTGTACGGGTTTTCGGATGCGGATTCGAAAACTCTTGGATTAACCGGGCTAACCGGATCTATAGCCGGATCTATTGCCGGATCTATTGCCAGATCTATAGCCGGATCTATAGCCAGATCTCTAGCCGGATCTATTGCCAGATCTCTAGCCGGATCTATTGCCAGATCTATTGCCAGATCTATAACCGAATCTATTGCCAGATCTATTGCCAGATCTATAACCGAATCTATTGCCAGATCTATAGCCGGATCTATAGCCAGATCTATAGCCGGATCTATTGCTAGATCTATAGCCGGATCTATTGCCGGATCTATAGCCAGATCTATAGCCGGATCTATTGCTAGATCTATAGCCGGGTCCCGAGAAATTTAGGATATTCTGATCAGATTAAGTGTTCAAAAAGCTTTTTTCCTTTTAAAAAACTATTCAATTGTGTATTCTATAGTCTATGATTTAAGCTTAACAATGCGCCTGCTTAATTTTCTTCCATGTAAATACAAAAGCTTTTAGTGCCAACGAGTCGTGTGGGTGCTCGGGCTCGGTAACGGTATTGCAGAATCTTGCCGTTCAGTGCGGAGGACTTTTGCAGCCTGGTCCACGAGCGATCTGCTATAAATACAGCGATTATCGTATGCGCGCATAAATTTCAATTATAAAACTTCGACTTTCAGAGGATCCAATCGTTTGCAATAGTACCACACCGAAATGCCTGAATGGGGGCATTTGTGTGGAGCAGCTCAACGATACATACACCTGCACGTGTCCGCGGCAATTCTCGGGATCGACTTGCGATACTCGTTCGTGATATAATGTAAAAAAATGAAAAAGAAAAGAAGACAAAAGAAACAGTTTTACTATTGCTGAAAAAGTTTGTTGTCATTTTACGGCTGACATTTATCTTGTGATCAACAGCGAATTTTTTACCTTAAAATTTGCACTTTTCCAGCTTCCTAGCTCAATTCTTCGAACAAAAACCTCGAATAGACACACGAACGGCGTTATATATATGTCGTAGCCGTTTACGAAATCCAACCGCTAACGAATCATTCATTAACGGCTAGCCGTTAACGATTTGCGATTTGAGCTAAGCTAGATAAGCTGATTTGCGTCTTGCATAAATAGTTTGAAATCAAAAACTCATTTGAATCGAGCCATGTTCGCAAAAGCCGATTACAAATTGTACACGGCTAGCGAAAAAATTTCATTCGTTATCGGCTAACCGTTAACGAATGATTCGTAAACGGCTAGCCGCTAACGAATCATTCGTTAACGGCTGAATTTCGTAAACCGCTACGACATATATATATATTGGATGTATATTTTTAGCTGTTGCTCCCTGTTCGAGCAACCCATGTAAAAACAGTGCCACGTGCACGAACTCGACTCAAGGATGGAGTTATGTTTGCATTTGTGCTGCCGGGTGGACGGGACCAACATGCTCAAGTTAGTAATTTAGTGAGAGAAGGCCTGAAACTTTCAGATATTTATTATGAGCTTGAGAATTTTGATAATAGTTCTTTTTCAGTTGACTTATTGTTAGTGTTTTGATAAGGCAAAATATTGGGTTGGTGAGTTGAAAACTGCCGGACTTTGAACTAAAATTTATTCAACACAAAACCATCAATTCATTCCAAATAATTTCCATTATTATTGACGACTTCTGCCCATTTTACAGGCAATTTGCGGATTCTTCTTTCGTAGTAGGATTTTGGTTTGTGTGTGAGACAAGTGTGAGACTCAAAAATGGAGGACTGGAGATTTCAGCTGTCAGCCCAGTTTGAGCACTTTCTTTAAAAGAAACACATTTTGGTGACAATAGGAAAGTTGTAGAGAATCAAAAATTAGGCTTATAGCCAAATTTCCAAAAAGATACACATAGTAGTTTCGCTTAAAATGCAAGTTTTGTGAAAATTCGTAAATTTGGCATTTCTTGAAAACGAGTTTTTGAATCGTTCTGAAAATTTGGATATAAGCTTGATTTTTGATTCCCTACAACTTTTCCATTGACCCCAAAATGGGTTTCTTCTGAAGAAAGTGCTCAAACTGTCACATATGACGATAGCCGGCAGTTTTCAATTCACCAACCCAATATATACAATTAACAGTCTAAGATCTGGGTTGAAAAGCACAGCTCTTAACTCTGAATTTTCTAATACAAAACTATTAACATTATATTACTTAAGCAATATCCTTGAGTGTATAACTTTTAAAATCTTTCTTATAAAGCTGTTCAGCAAAAATTCTCTGCCATTGGAGTCCGTGTGCGAATGGGGGACTTTGCATCGAGGCCGCTGACTACTCAGGTTACACATGTGAATGTCCGAGTTTATACACGGGAGCCAACTGTAACAGTGAGTTGTTTCAAAAAAGAGAAATTCTCAAATAAAAGTAAATTATTGTTATTGATTGTTATAGTTATTGAATTACAATAAAAAGTTTTTCAAAATGAAATCTGGAAGTGGTACTTTTGACGGGTGAAAGAACGATTCACACCCAAGTGTCTCACCGTTTTAGCTGTTGCTTTAGGAAAATGGGTTTATTGTGCTAATTATTGTGATTGCGGTATAATATTCAAAAGATTATCAGAGTTAAAGAAAAAATTCTTATTGTCAGAGTCATAATGTTAGAATTGTTCTCATGTTTAGCGCCAAATATGTGTTACTCGTCTCCATGTAAAAATGGAGCCAACTGCACAAATAACCCAAACGGATTGGTGTCGGCTGTGAGCGGCTACGAGCAATACTATACAACGACAACGTATAGTTGCACGTGTATGCCTGGATGGACGGATTATAATTGTGATAAAGGTTTGGGTGATCGTTGGTTGTTATGAATGGGCTATCACTTTAGAGATCGACTTTTGTGAAAGCACTCCGTGTTTCTACCAAGGCACGTGTTTGAATGTGGGTTTGAGGAAAATGATACAGGCATTTATTCATGATTTCGATTGAGCCTTTAGCCATAAAGCTTTTGAAAGCCATAAAGCGTTTGAGAAAAAAGATACAAGGATTTATTCATGATTTCGATTGAGCCTGTAGCCACAAAGCTTTTAATAATAACCTGTAAACTGGAGAAGTTCACTATACAGAGTTCTTTATAGTTTATGCCACCAACGGCTCCATATTACAACTGCACGTGCCAAGCCGGGACATTCGGGCAGTATTGTGAGACTAGTAAGTGATCAATTTCCTAATCCTTCCACCCGAAATTCAGATCCGGACAACTGTGTCTATTCAACGAACTCGAAAGGAAAGACGGTCAGCACCTGCAATGCAACTGATCCCGTGGTAAGGAGATCTGCTATCGAAATTGCTATTTATCTGCTATCGTTAAAGAAACAAAAAGTTGGCTCATATCCGTTTTCTTTGGAAGTTTTGGAAACCGGAACAGAAAACTACATGAAATGTTCGACTTTTCTTTTCTAGGGCCAATGCATCGATGGCTTCAACACATACACGTGTGTCTGTGGGCCAGATTACACATCCGACGATTGCAGTTTACGTGAGTTTAACACATACCGTAAATACTGTAATTGGACCCCACCCCCATAGTGACGGTGCGGAGTGTTGCGTAGTCTAGCTTTGAACGAGTTTTTCTCGACACTAGTTTATGCTACAATGCGCGTTTAGGTATCAAAAAATAGCTGAAATTCAGGGCTATTTTTTGATACCAAAGACGCATTTTTTGAAAGTACGGGCGCTTTGAAAAAATGAAATACTAAAAAACTTTTGCGACTACGCGACTGTACGAGGGGGGTGGCCATTCCCTCGTACAGTCGCAAAAAATAGCCCTGAATTTCAGCTATTTTTTGACACCTAAGCGCGCATTGTAGTATAAACCAGTGTCGAGAAAAACTCGTTCAAAGCTAGACTACGCAACACTCCGCACTGTCATTATGGGGGTGCGGTACTATTACAGTATTTACGGTAATGCATTGTAGAAACGGGAAATAAGCAGGCGAGGAAGAGTTGTCTTGTAAATTGTTAATTTTCTTTTAAACCCCTAAACCATTAAATTTATCTTTCTAGCAATGATCGTCTACAATGCCACGATTCTGATTTTTGGTCCTGGAGTTACCGTGAGCTCGGATATTATAAATGTAAGAAAAGCTGTCTCAGTGATCTCATCTCGTACATATTATAGTTGCTGGACGATCTACTAAGCAATCCCTCAAACATCGTCGACATGGTTCCATTCATTCTCGGCTTGGAAACAGAGTCGGAGAGGTGAGGACTTAAATGTTGATAATGTTGATAAACAAATAAGCAAGATAAACAAGATAAACAATCTTTTGATTTTGGCTCTGAGCTTCTATGATTTTTGCCCATTCCAATATGCTTCTATGTAAATTTTTGCGTCTTCAGGATGGACATGAGTTGGGACTACTCGGATATGTTTGAATGGGTTGCGTTCGAGGAGAAAACTCTGCAATTAGAGTAAGTTCCATCTTGACACGGATTTTGAAAAGACTTTGAAAAGAAAAGACTTTCTCGGGTGGTTAGATTCATGGAATTCATTCCAGAAGAGATTTGTACAAGTGGAACGATGTCACACTCGGCAATTGTTTCACGTTCAATCACAGAAATAACACAGCTGCACAGTATCTGGGTCGGATGACCGGAGCAACTGGGGGTAACTGAACATTTTGGTACTTTTGACAAGAAAATCTATAGGGCTTTTGGCGTTGCTCAAGGTGAACAGTGACGAATACTGTCCGTGGACACAGACGATGGGAATTCAGGTAACGTGTTAATAAAATCGTTGAGGCTGAACAGAGCCAGGGAATCCGAAACGGAAAAATCACAAAAAACAAAAAACAACCACAAAAAACGGTTTGCTGTGTCTGCCAAAACTTTATGGATTCCCCAAGTTTATAAACAACATGTTCTAGGTATTTGTCCACCCGGCCGAAGAGGACATCTTCTCCGCTTCCGTCAGCACAACGGCCCAGCCCGGCACTCAAGCTGATCTCTTTCCATTCATGGTAA